TATAGCCGTCTACAAGTCCACTGCTGAACATGGTCATTCTCCAAGGAATGCCTATAAATCCTTAATGCATTTTTTTCTATCTCGTTACTCCATCTAGTGACTAGCCACGCAATCTTATCATTTATTATTTAATCTTTCTTTCTTTCTTTCTTTTTCTTTTTTTTTTTAACGTTCTTATCCAAGATCATATTCATATTTTAGTTGTTAATTTCTCAGTATGCCCGTTAGATACGGTAAAACTTATATTAATTTTGTAATCTATAGATTATAGATTATAAGGAATAAATCGACACGTGTTTCATCAAATTACGCCAGAATTTGTGGTGTGCACTTTCTCCATACAAAAAGAAATTGTCTCCTTTGTGATCAGAATCTCACGTCTATTTCATGCTTACTGATAAACACAGAACTCGTGACAAGTATACCAGGTGGAGGGACTCATTTCCCGTATAGAATTTCGTCTGGGTATGAACCACCCGCTTACCCATTTCTGCCGCACATGCCGACGGGCATACAGAGCCAATATAACTATAGGCTGTGAGACATTCCACCCTAGTCCTCAGAGGTGACAATGCATCTAGACTTCTTTGTTTGAAGTTATAGTTGCTGATGTCCGTAACTTCAGAAGCCACTTAACATCAGGTGGACTGTAACTTCATTTGTTACTGCAGTTTTATCAATAATTTAAAATTAAAAATTTTGTACAACCGACTTCAATATAAATTATTAAAAATAACTCACTCAAAAACTACTGGTGAGACCTTGATCAAATTTATATGGGACCACAAGAGAAGCACCAGCTTTCAAAATAAAAAAGAATCATTGAAATCGGTTCACCCAGTAAAAAGTTATGAGGTAACACACATAAAAAAACATACAGTCGAATTGAGTATCGGCTCCTTTTTGAAGTCGGTAGAAAAGATTAACTCTCTTAGGGTAACAACTAAATAACTTTACTGTACAACGGAAGAGGAATTACATACAGTCCAAGGCTTTAATTCAAAATTTTAGTCGTCACAGATACTGCTTAATACCTTGATTTAGAACTACATCTACATATTTATCTAGATATCTGTTTTTTATTACATATTTATTTTCTAATTGCTTAATTTCTCGATTAACGTATAATTAATTGTACAATTGTAGCACGAATGAGTCGGCTCGACACGAGAGATCACGCTCTCAAAAATTCCAGCGTAAAATAGCAGATTAATGCTGCTGTGTTACTTATGGTGAGTGTAGAGAACCGGAGACCCTTTTTACTGGAAAAGACGTATTCCATCTTAGTCTTCACGGCTGACAACGCATCTGCATTTTATTCGCAAACTAGGTTATATGTAGATGTCTATGGGCCACAGCAACCGCTTACACATCAGGTAGACTGTGTGCTCGCTTGTCACCCTTATCCTATAAAAAAAATATCTAAATGTATGTAATTCAAACGAATAAAAAAGGTATGAATACATTTCAGTATTTTGGAGCCTGGGTGCACTATGTTCACGACAATTAATTCTATCCTTTCCATTTACTTATATATCCTTTCCTGAGAATTAAGTATTTTCCGTGCTTTATCGAATATCGTTCATAAAACAACCGTAGTCAGAATAGCAGAAATGACATTTTAAAAGCAAATGCTACGATATCAAGCTTTATTTAGTTATACTTATATAATGTATGCCGTATCTTAATGGCGTATTTTAAATATTTAAATTATGCATAGGTATTTAAATGACTGTCGGTATATCGAAGTGTTGAAGTGCTTGTACAGTAGGGCTACGATGGCTATCCGAGTACAGAACCAGAGTACGAAACCTATCCAATTGCAGAGAGGTGTAAGACAGGGTGACGTCATATCCCCGAAACTCTTCACCGCTGCATTGGAAGACGTTTTCAAGCTTCTGGACTGGAAAGGATACGGTATCAACATCAATGGCGAGTACATCACTCACCTTCGATTTGCCGACGATATAGTCCTTATGGCAGAATCGCTGGAGGACCTAAGCACTATGCTCAATGACCTCAATAGTGTTTCCCAACGGATAGGTCTTAAGATGAACATGGACAAAACTAAGATCATGTTTAATGTCCATGTCACACCTATGCCGATAGTTGTTGGGAACACTAAGCTCGAAGTTGTTGACGAGTATGTTTACCTGGGACAAATAGTCCGACTGGGTAAGTCCAACTTCGACCGAGAGATCAATCGACGGATTCAACTCGGCTGGGCAGCGTTCGGGAAGCTACGACACATCTTCTCGTCAGACATACCTCAAAACCTTAAAACGAAATTGTACAACCAGTGCGTGTTGCCAGTGATGACTTACGGAACTGAGACGTGGTCCTTCACTGCTGGCCGTATGAGGAAGCTCAAGGTCGCTCAGCGAGCTATGGAGAGGGCTATGCTCGGAGTTTCTCTGCGTGATAAACTTAGGAATGAGGATATCCGCAGTAGAACCAGAGTGACCGACATAGCCCAACGGATTAGTAAGCTGAAGTGGCAGTGGGCCGGCCATATAGCTCGAAGAACCGACAACCGATGGGGAAGAAAGGTTCTCGAGTGGCAGCCTCGTACCGGTAGGCGAAGTGTAGGGCGTCCCCCCACGAGATGGAGTGACGACCTGGTAAGACATGCAGGAAGTCGATGGATGCAGGTGGCTCAGGACCGTGTTTTGTGGCATTCTTTGGGGGAGGCCTATGTTCAGCAGTGGACTTGTGAAGGGCTGTAATGATGATGATAATGATAGGTATTTAAATGTATCACCTTGTTTTTCTATTTCTTAGTAATTTGTAACACCTTGTAAACACTTGTGCACACTGCACATGCTTGTTAATATTATAAATAATATTATGTTAATGCAAGAATAAATTACATCGTTATACATTAAATAAAATAATAAGTGATTACAAAACGACCAATTTAAATTTGAGTCATCAATTATTCTGCGTTCATCTTTTTTGTAAGTAGACACTGAGTTATATGTACTACGTACTAGAGAAGCCATTCCGAACATAGACTATGTTCAACTGAACTGTAGTGCAATCCATACAAACTAAATATTGCGTTAATTGAAGATTTGTGAATTCCATAAAATAATTATTATTACATTTTATTTAGAAATATAATATGTTTGTTTAGATTAAATTAAGATATTTTATATTAAATTCTTATATTTATTTTAATTTCAACATATTTGAACTAAACTGCAGGACTAAACTGGTACGCAACACCCCCCTCACGCGAACGATACACATACTAAATTTGGTTGCTGAGAAGTTGGACTTATTTTCATGTTCAAGAAGTGAGTTTGCAAAAGTGACATTATTCATAATATGTTATTCTCAAATTGAATTATACAATTGATTGTAATGTGTTGTTATTTAAATTAATTATTGTGTGTTGTAATTACTAATATTATTATCTTTTACCATTTAAATTATTACTTTATGCTTTATGATGTATTCCAGTAACATATTTTAATTGTATTATTATTATTATTATTTTGAATTGAGATGCTACATTTATCGATTTAGGTTTTTCCCTGTAATGGTAGATGTTAGTAGGAAATATAAATAAATAAATAAATAAATAAATTATATAAATATCTTATTTTATATCAAATTAAAGTCTTCGCCCATGCGCGACTACTACTTCCGCGCATGCGCAAAGACATAGAGTAGGACACAATTTTTGTTTGGAATGGCTTCTCTAGTACGTATTACATATAACTCAATGTAAGTAGATAAAAAAATACATTTATATATTGGCATATAAAAAAGAAAATTAAAGAGCAAAATATTCGGGCAACACTGTACGATAAATGCATTAGAGTTATTGCTAAATGTTATTGCGAATGATATTGAAAATAAATATATTGCTTCCATGCAAAAATATTTTATATAGTAGTTTCTACAAATAATCTTGAACTTGTATCAATATTACCTACATATCGGAGTACATATCGTGGACAAATGTGTCATTTGCTGTAGACTGTACTGTTGTGATCTACGCACAGTGAAGTTTCTAAAGGAATTAAGGAACTGTACCTGTGACGGGTTGTCGCCGCTAGTGAAATGAGAGCAGATTTTTCTCTCGTTCAAATTATATCCATTCAACTAGGAAACGCAGCCAGCGTTCTTTTCACTGTAGCGCGAAGAATAGGACGGCAAAATAATTGTAGTTTTTTTTTGGTTTTTTAATAGTTATAAATATCTTATTATAAACACTACCTAAGACTACACTTGTCTAGGAATCCGGGTGTTTAAATAACTTTTTTACAACGATTTGATTCGGCTTTGTTACATCATCGTCACCATCATCACTACAGCCATTTAAAAGTCTATTACTGAACAAAGGCCTCACCCAAAGGATGCCACAAATCACGATCCTGAAGTCCTGGGCCACCTGCGTCCATCGACTTCCTGCCTTTCTCACCAGGTCGTCACTCCATCTAGTATTTGTGTTTTTACAAAACCGCTTTGTTTATGATTACTTATATAGTAAATAATTGTACATGATCATAACTGGATCGGGAAACGGCCACGCTCTTACAGAATACCAGCGTAACAATATAGCACATTAATGCTGCTGTGTTTCGTATGGTGAGTGTAGAGAACCGGAAGACCCTTTTTACTGGAAACGAAGCACTCCATCTTAGTCCTCAGAGGTCACAACGCATCCGCTTGTCAACCACATTTGTAAAAAATCATAGTCATATATACACATCAGTCTTCACAGTTATAATATTATATACAACTAAACACTTTAACAATATAAATTATATTTATTTTATTTAATTTTTACAATATAATTTATTTTAAACAGTATAATTTTTTATTAATGTTAAAAGTTTTAACAATATGAATATTAAGAAACGTAACGGAAAGTTATCAATATCTGTGTAATTTTAGAAAATCATTATAACCTTGGCTAAGTTATATTTGATGTGTGAACAGTTTTAGTTTTAATTTTGAACGAATATAATTATCTTTAATGTTATTAGATCGAGGAGAACAGCCGAGCTCTCGAGTACCTCGGAGGTTCGAGATGCGCTTCAGTCATGTCCCAGGAGTCAGGGGCCGCCACGCCCACGCACAGAGCCGAAGACAGATGGAAGCAAGGCGCCAAGAAGACGCTACTGCAATGGGTGGCAAACGCATTACCTAAGTAAGTTACTTATCTGAAGCATTAAGTCAAACCATTTAACAAATTGAGGGGTAGTCATCTAGTTTTTTCTTCTCACGATTATTCGCAGGTATAGCATAAGTACACAGGGTTGCCAAACGTCCTTTGTTTTAAAGGATGTCATCTATAAATATCATGTAAACATTGATCTTGTCCCCTAATTTGAAATATTTAATAGAGGACAAGGCAATATCACGCGTATTCGACATTCCCTCTGCTAGTAGAGGTATTTTGTAATTAAATATGTACTATACACATTACACATGGACAATTTGTCAAACTGAGAGTATAATAAAATTATTATTATTATTAATAATAAAAAAAGAGTTTAAATATCACGTTGAGGTGACGCGCAAAGTTAGAGAGACAAATTATGTTACATTGCGTATTAACACTTAACAGTGCTTTTTTTTAAATAATAAATGTCGCTATGTACTGATACCATTACAGCATTTTATTGAGAACAATATGATATCATCTATTTCTATCCCATGTCCTTTATTTAATCTTATCAAATTCTCTTAAACGTAAAACGGAAGCTAGGAACCATGAGTATATAGATAATTATATAAAATAAGTGATATTCATTCTGTAAATACTAGGAACAGACACGAGCTAGTAGTACCAGTTACTCGACTCCACCGAGTCAGTAATTCAATCTTGGGGCGATATTACTTTTACAACAAAATCCCAGAAAATATACAAAATTTGACCAGTTCAAAGTTCAAAAACATTATTAAACTAAATTTGTATAAAAAGAGTTATTATAATATTAAGGAATTTATGGGTGATAATAACCCCTGGCAATGAGTTGAGCGCTACCAAGCTATTTCTAATTTGTTTTGTGTTGTTAATGTAAAATAAGTACATGAATGTAAGCTGTTATTTAACAAAAATATAAAAAAAGTCCCGCTGGGTTTCTTGCTAGTTCTTCCAGGACAGAGGTTTTTTCCGAACCAGTAGCAATTAAATAAAAGAGTGACTTTCAATAAGTATTATTTTAAATAAAAAAGTTTCTGTTTCTGTTTCAATTCATCTCCCCATTTCGACCCGTGGGTGTCGCAAGAGGTGACCGTGGGTAATACCATAAAGGTTTTAAGACGGTATAACCACATCTTAAATGCAAGCGGAAAATACCCAGACAGGTACATGCAGCAGTGTCAAAAGATCGAAACAAGCGTACGATTAAGAGATTGTGAAGATGCCGATACGCGGCGCGAATAGGTATTTTCAAAAATGCTATCTGTTTCATACCGCTCGCTCCGTATCGCCATATTGTGCGATAGAGAGAGTTGCAAGTCTTAGTAGCAATTGCCTATATTTCCTTTTTGAAATATTGCTTCGGCCGATAACGTTTTCACCCCCTAAACCTTTACGAAATGAGACAACTTTGATCTCATTAGATTAATTACACCTTAATATAGGTCTGTATGTTTTTGTTGTTTAGTAACTCAGTTCAGTTTAATTTAAAAAAAGCGATCGAGGAAGTTTTAATGTCAAAAATATTGATATCTAGATGCTAATGACTTATTTCGTACGCAATGTTTCCTTAAAATAAAAACGTTCGGATCTAATTTTTCATTATATCTACAAAATTTCATGCAAAAACTATAAAAAAACTACAAAAGTATAAAAATTAGACTATATTGAAAGGGGGGGGGGGGGCGTTAACGCTTTTTGTATGAAAATTTACAGGTTCACAATCCTCTTAAGGTAAACAACCCATGCGCACCCGGCAAGTGGAATTGCAGTTCCACAGACGTCTCAAATCGGACCTTTGACCCTATCTTTAATGTGGGTGGTCTGTCTAATTCGACTAATTAATTGTAAGCTGTATCGGCTTTTTTTTCACCCAATCTGGATATCATCAAATTCCAACACCAAATTTCTAACAAGTTTTCAGTGTGTAGAATCACGAAATATTCCGTTAAAACATTTTGTAATTAAATTTCTTCAACAGGGACGCCAACATTCAAGTGACAGACTTCGGCCCGTCGTGGCGCGACGGTGTGGCATTCCTCGCCATAATTGACGCGATCAAAGCTAACCTGATCAACTTGGCCGAGATGAAGAGGAAGACCAACAGACAGCGTTTAGAACACGCCTTCGACGTGGCGGAGACTGAACTTGGCATCGCTCGGCTCTTGGACGCCGAGGATGTGGATGTGGACAAACCTGATGAAAGATCGATTATGACTTACGTTGCTCAGTTCCTGCACAAATATCCGGAACCAAAGGTAAGAAGAAAAGCCCTCTTTTGGTACTTTTAAACTAATTAATTTTGATGATAATTAGTTTGGTTTTTGAGCAATATCTCATTAACAAAAACAACTCATATCATCAATATCATTACAGCCCATTACAGGCCCACTGCTAAACATAAGCCATCCCCAGGGGATGCAACAAGTGTGCAATTACTCAATCGCCAACTCGCTTGCCAATCGTGGCAACTATATCAAAAATCCTCCCATGTGCAGCTTATCAACGTAAATCTAATTAATATTATGTTTCATTATATTCTTTTGTAACAGACAACAGGACCGGATGCCGTCGCGGCTGTCCAGGAGGAATACGAATCGCTTAGGATGTGGCTGACGGAACGCGTCTCTGTAGTCCAGAGACAATATGACACGCGGACCCTATCACGGAACTACGAGGACTATGTCCGCGCCGAAAACGAGCGGCTCGCTAGAGAGCCAATATATCAAAAACTCGAGAAGCTCATGTATACGCAGAGCTTAGTGGCCATAGCACCAAAATCGTGGCGAGAGCTTGTGTCTCTCTGGATCGAACTGGAGAGACTTCACAGGAGATGGCTGTGGCTTTTGGACTCAGAACTGCCCGGCGATTTCAGAATGGTCGGCGAATGGTTAGCGAGGGCCGAATACCTTTTATACTTCGACGAAATCCCGAACAATTTCGATGAGCGGACTGCCGCCTTAATTAGCGAGAAATTAGAAGAGCACACATCTTTCTTCGCCGACCTTCCTAATGTCGCCGACAGGTTCGAAGCGGCATTACGATCACCTGATGCTAATAGAATCCCTGGCGAAAGGTTGCAAGAAATGAAGGAGCGTTTAGAGACTGTTAGTCGAAGGGCTCCTCAGAGAAAAGCTAGATTAAAATATTTAGAACACAAATGTTGTATCGTGGCTTTCACAGAACTGACTAAAGCGAAGTTAGCCACTTGGACCGCGAAATGCGGTAGAGTAGAACACGTTCGTGCCTTATTAGATGACTACGATAATTTCGTAACTAAAAACAAGATTTTCCAAGAATTTGATAAAGCGTATGTTGATATTAAGCAAGTAGCAGAAGAATATAAGAGAGTATGTGAAGTAGATAGAACTGAAGCGAGAGAAATCGATTCGTTCCTAAGAGAAGTTTCGGAGACTTGGCGAAGAGTGGCCTCTGATGTTAGGTGCGCGCGAAGTGTCCTTGAAGAAGTCATTGCTCATTGGGAGAGATGGACGACGCTGATTGATCAGTTTACTACTTGGCTGGACAAAGCACAACATATGTTAAGAGTATCTGAAGACGAAGGTTTAGAGTTCTTCCACGACCTTACCGTTTGGAAAGAGAAACATCAGCTTTTGGGTGACGCAGCTGGATTCTTAGCCGCCACGTGTTCTGATGACATAAGTTCCGAGATCAAGAGAAAGTACGTGGAGATCACAGAACGTTGGGAACGTGTTTGGGAAGAGGCCGAGCGGTAAGTTTACAAGTTCTATTAAAAATTACCATTTAGATCCCATTCAAAATTGTTGCCTAAATACGTTTTTCGTTCGCCCCAATATCATTTTTCAATGATCATAACCCATTAAATAGCGATTGAAAACAGAAAATATATTTATTGTTAATTAATTACTTTAATCCTAAGCTTATAACTACACTATTTATATATTTAAAGGTATGTACGTGGAGGAGACGCTCTCCGTCATCGCCGCGAGTTGGCTTCTGGAATTCAAACCCTAGACAACTGGCTATCAACCGCGGAACACCTACTGTCAAAGCAACCGCGGGCAAACACCACGGACATACAAAACTACATCGATCAGTTGTTGCAACTTAATTCAGAAATTGAACATCATGAAGAACTGTTCAAAACTATTAGCAGGTAAATAAATCCTTTTCCTTATGTAGTGGTACTTAATGTTCTTGCAGTGTGGGTCTTGGGAGGTCCACCAAGATCCACACTGCAGCTACATTATGGTTGTAGAACGAATGAGACGGCTCGACCAGAAAGGAACGACGCTCTTACAGAATACCATAGTAAAATAGCAGCTTAATACTGCTGTGTTTCGTATGGTGAGTGTAAAGAACCGGAGACCCTTTGTACTGGAAACCGTAGTCCTAAGGGGTGGTCACACATCTGCATTTTCTTAAATGAGGATACATGTACTTAGATGTCTATTAGCCACAACATCCACTTACCATCAAGCAGACTGTGTAGTCGTATGTCACCCTTATTCTATGAAAAAAAAACAAAATTATTTTCAAAGTAAACACACACTCCTCGTCTTCAAACCTCATCAGCTCCTAAACCAAAATATCCGCAGCTGAACATGGGCTTCGAAAAGAGCATTATTTGCATTATTGTTATTTAAAAATATATATTAAATCATTTCTTTCCTTTCATTATTTTTTTTTAATTTTCTCTTCATTCGGTATGCAAACCTTTAAGATGTCATTTTTATATTTTTGGTATAAACTTATGGTTTCATTATAAACACAACTTTTAATTATTTTTGCATTCTAAGCAGTACCTAGTAAAATTTTAATAGCTTATAATCTTTTACTTAAATAATAATACGAGTGGGCTGAGTTTGAAGAGTTTGTTCATTTGTGACTTGATGCAAGACTGGTTTTTAAATTATTAGTTTTCGCCGTACTTCCTTAATCCCACCTTATGACGTTACTTGGATTTGAAATGAAAGTCAAGTAATTTCGTGCATTTTTGATAAAATAATTACCATCCCTAATGTTTAAGACCTCTAAATAGCAGAATAGGGTTTATAAATGAACAATCCCGAAACTATTTCAAAATCAACATGGCATAAAATTTTCCTTCCATTTTTTTACATATTGAAATTTTACTTACGTACCGAAATTTGGTATTTAACGAAAATTTTATGCTTCCTGTGGCGGCGCTGTCATCGCGCTACAAGCGAATGCACTGAAGCCTAAATCACACTATCGAAGTTTTTATGCTAATATACCAGTGTATGCTTACAGAACCTTCCAAAACGCGATCGCGGATCTACCACGCGATGAAGTTGAATCCAATATGACTAAGCTGAAACAACAGAAAGAGATGTTGGTTAGAGTTCGAGCCACTGTTCCTGTCAAGCTCCATCAGTACAGACAGCTACTGGTACAGCACGAGTCGCTGGAAAGCGGACAGAAGGAAATCGGGCAGTGGCTGGATAAGGCCGACGAATTATTGAGAACCACTACTGAAACAAGGCGGTGAGTTATAATTATTTCCAGTTTACACTTATATTTTTATGTGGTAGAACCATGCTGCAGATGTATATCGTTTGTAGCACGAATGCGTCAGCTCGACCGTAGTAGGATCACACTCTCACAGAAGCACAGTAAAATAACAGCTTAATGCTGCTGTGTTTTGTATGGTAAATGTAGAGAACCGGAAACTCATTACTGAAAACGAAGCATTTCATGTTAGTCCGCAGGAGTGACTACTCACCTGCATTTTGATTCTTAATCGAGGATAGATGTAGATGTCTATGGGCCACAGCAACCACTTACCATCAGGTGAACTGTGTGTCCTTTTGTCACTCTTATACTATAAAAAAAAAAACAATTTCAAATCTTACTTTACTCATCTGTAAAAGTCTTCAGCTGGATAATGGGCTCACCCGTTGTAAGGAGGAATTGTCTTAAATGATATGATTGGGATTATCAATGGCAATGCTAGACGTCTCGCACCTTTGACGGTGCTGCACATCGCCAATCTTGGTATTTTTCGTCTTACGTAAACTAAATAGTTGTAGCGCCATCTAAGTATAGGAAGCCATAAGATATTTCTATAGTCGACTCTTACGAAACCCACGGAACGAAATAGGCGATGGATTCTCTAACGCCGTGACCCCACGCCAAAGTTATTCATAAGGGAAGATTTCATAGACATCAGTGAGGACTCCCACAACTTTTTCAACCATCGCAGCGGCGCCACTTTAGAATGAGGTAAAATATTTGACAGATCTCATGGCGGGTAAATTAAATTGTTAGAAAAAGTGAAAGTTAATGTTTATTTGTGAAATATTAGTTAGATGTTGTATTGATAAAATTAGAAATGCATAAACCAAACTACGGATATTCTTAAAAGTAGAAGAATTTTTAAAAGTCATAAAATGTGTTAGAATTTAAAGAACATACCGTTGTGGGCACTTTAGTATCCTGCGACACAATTTCGGTGGTGATTTTGCTTCTGTTTTAGGTTTTGGATCATACAATAATATTTTAATACGTAACGTCTTTTTACGTGGAAATATGCAGTTTTCAAGAATCTTTTTTTTTTAAAGTTTTGAAGCATGTCGCTCCGGGATCGATTAATCTAAAAATTTATTATTCGGCATTAAGAAATCGATTTTTTTACATCGATCTGAAACAGCGAATCCAAGAGAATCTATCTGAGAGATCTCTATGGGGCCTATATAAGAAGACTAATTTCGTTTTTAAAGCATATACTGATTTTTAATATTAAATTTTCCAATATGTATAAAAATATACAATAATTTTCCGTGATGGAAGAAGTGCAGGGGAACGGTCACCCCTCGACTCCCTCCTCGTGGCGCAGGATACTAAATCAAACCCCAAATATTCTAAGCAGTCTACCTGATTTCAAATTATTATTGTAGACTACGGTTTCTTACGACCAACTTCAAACAAAGAAGGTCACAAAGGTGTTGTCACTCCAGAGTATCAAGATGAAATACCTCAACAAATAAAAAAATATATTAAATGGATGTTATATCTTAAGTATTTATATATTTTTTTTACTAGCGAGGTAATTGAAGAACGCTATGAAATTCACCGTACATTCTTTTCGCGCACTACCTACTACCGTTCAATGTTGGAGAGCAAGAATAAAGTCTTCCAGAACATTGTCAAAGCAGCCGATGCAGACCGCAGTGCCGATGTTACAGACCAAGTGCGGTTAATGAAAGATTTAAACGATAGGTGAGTAACTTCGAATGCTCATTAAATGCAATTTACTTATTTTATTATAATTTATTTACCGTTGCTTACCATCAGGTGATCCACATACTCGCTTGCCCCCACTTCTATAAAAATTACGATGGTCATGATATTGTAAATTACGATGGTCATAAAATGTTCCCTAAGATAGATAAAGCTGTAAAACTAAATACCCTCAAAGTAATTACTAGTTTGTAATTCCTCTAAGCAAATAGCTAACAGCACCAACAAATATAACTCTCTTTGTCTTTAAATTAGAAATAATAAATAATTATGTACCTAATGTTTGTGAATCTTTGTATATTTATATTTTTTATTTTATAATTATATAATTTTACTCAGGTCCTGAAGAGGTCATATTACTAGAAATAGTCTGTTAGGATCATTTTTTGGTACTCATATTATTGAATTTGTATATTTATTTTCACTTTGATGATATTATACGAGTACTGTCATACAAATTATAATATATTATTCATATGACAGTCAACCGATTTCATATTTATAGTAGATATAGTTTCTAAATGTTTTAATGAGATATTTAATAATCAGTAATCACACGATTATTACAAAAAACACTAAGCGAATAAAGCGGCAATATAATCGCGTGCATAAGTGTTCTGTGGTAACGATACGTTATAAAAAAAAGATTAAAATTTAATGTCACTGTAGATTCGTTATACCTGTACATTTTTCTTATTTGGTTCTCTATACCAATTATGAATATACATCCTATCCTTGCGGAGATGGAGGCACAAGTTAGTAGTATGTAATGGCTCCACCATTACATAGTTTTGGCGGGAACTTAACCGCAATCAGATTGTTACCCTTATAATATCGATACAATAATAGTCTATATAAGATTTCAATATGTGGTGCGATTTTGTGTAAATAATATCGGCTCATCAGAATTATAAACTAGCATCACCTGTTCATTGGGTTAAGCTGTCATTAAAAGTTTGCGATGTGAGGCATCAACAAGGTTAGTATTACGAAGAATTTTGAACATGTACAACTAGGCTGTATGGGCGTAGATCCCTTTGCCTTTAAATAATTAAAAAGTCTTGTTTTCTTTTGACTTTTTGTTTGGTACATAAACATAATTAAACTTTTTCTCAATTCCAAGCATTTCGTATTTCGTAAATAATTAGATAGATTTTTTAATAAATATAAAGTAATTAAAAGCAACATGCATGTGTTACGCAAATGCTTGAATGGTTTTAGCGTGTGCTATTGTCTCATAAAAAGTAAGTATTTAAAAAAAATACCATTATCCTCTAAAAATGATCTTAAAAAATTCCATATTTAACACTGTTTTTAAGAAACAAAATTTTTGCACAGTATTTTGAAATTGCGTAAGTTACGGTTAAGGTTTAGAATCAAGTCGCCTTAATAGGGGAGTGGGGGTGGAGGAGGGGAAGATTCACTCCCCGCCTTTTCAGAGGTGTATATTTTTTATTTCTGACAAAAATCACCTTAATAGGGAGGGGGGGGGGGGGTCACTTAATTTTACGCATTTTTACAGATCCAACTTAAAGAACGTAAGAATTTATTGTAATTTAAGTTCCGTTTTTGGTATTAACCGGTTCAGTGCGGGTGACACGCCAGGCGTGCCATCGATTACTTTTGTGTATGACGTATGACACGCGAGTCGTGTCTTTAAAAATCTTTATAACTCGCTCAAATTGCTTTTTTGGAAAATTTATCCAGAACAAAATATTTATTATTTTGCGAGTAGTTCATGCATGCAGCTTCCTTTCTGGATATTTTGAAAATTTGATATTTTTAGGGGTTGACAACCTTTTTTTAACTTGTACATGGTAGTATTTTTACTTTGTGAGTTTAAATCATGTTATCGAAAAATTGTGTAATGAGTAACAAGTAATAGCACTCATTGCGATCGCTCACAAACTCAAGTTGTAAATAAATTTCTGGAAAACAAGTCTCCTGTTAAAAAAAACAATGCTTTTGTCTTATTGTTTAATTTTGCTTAAAATGGTTGAACTGCCATCTTATTACTATCATATGGCCGAATAGGCCTACGAAGTACCATGTGCTCTTGTGATATGGTATAAGGTTTATTTTTGCTTGAAACAGTTCGAAACCGTTCATGCATAAAAGAAGTTCGCTAATAAATAGTCTTTTGTCAATCCGCCGCCATATAGCGCCGGCATTTTTTTCCTTTTCAAAACACTTGTTTTGCTATTCTTACTAATTAGACGTTTTCAGATCAACTTTACTTTTACATTTGTATAACATTAAATAATATTTAACATTTGTAAATATCAATGAATGATATACCTTCTTTTTTTCAAATTAAGGTTCTTCATTGTTTGATATTTACAAATGTTATTATTAGGTGAAAATTTAATTTAATAAAAACCAAGGTTTCCAGGGTGATTCAGCTGTATCTATTTATATAAATGATTTTTTTATAACAACAAAAATAGTACAAAAGGTTGTAATCTCTTCATAAAAAAAGTCACTTTCTCTCAATTTCAAAGAAAACGCGTAAAAAAACACGTAGTTACCCACTAAAAACAAGTATCCTTCCATTTGTAACTTATGTTTGATGTTAAATAAACTTAATTAGGTCTAAACAAGTAAAAAAAGCATAAAAAAGAATATTACCTTTACACATAGCGGATGGCACAATAGGCGTGTCATATTTGTCTGTGGCGCTCGACACGCCCGGCCTGTCATGAATTATTTGTTCGCCGCCACAGCTAAAACTTGTCGAAAATTGGTGCCGCAACGAATCGGTTAATTAGTGATTTATGACTATTTTTAGAAACTAATTATAAATATTTCGATGCTGCTCTGGCATCTAAAATTGCATGGGGGTGCTTGAGATAAGCCCCTTTGTCCGCCCCAGTGATAGACTCCTCAAATTTAGGCGACTTGATCTAAATCCAACCGAACATAACTGTTGTCGACAAACTTGTAACAATCCATCAATCCAATTTAAATAGTAATGTGTACTAAAATGTATATGATATCTTGTATGACACAGAGTACATTATATCAGGGGTCTAATATCAAAGGTGGCAAAGACCAATTAAAGTAATTTTAAGTCATTTACAAGAAACTAATAACATTTAAAGATATTACATATTACTGTTATAATATATTAATATAAAGTGATATTTTGATACCTTTTATTTAAAGCTGTATTTTAATGCTAAAACAAGTCAGATATCTGAGAAACTTAAATAATATGATCGACATTGCCACATTTGTTAGTAAAGTAAGGACTTTACTGTTTTTGTTATGGATGGTTATGACTTAGCCATATTTGTTAGGATATAATTTAAACAGTAAGCTGTCAAGGTTGTCAAAAAAACATGAAAATAATTGAAATGTTTTATTTAACTTTGTTAAACCGATCAAATAAAAAAAATATTAAAGTAATCATATCTAAACTTTCAGTGCTGTGTTTTCCGAGCGAGATTCAAATTGTTATCTTCATTTCAAAAAAAAAAATGTTTTGCAAGTAGATACATTATGAATCTTCTGTGGATTTATTGTGACACCCAGCGAATTTTCACGTGGTGTAATCATCATAACATTTTTTTATAATCATCATAACTTTTTTTTCTTGGCGACACAGACAACAAAATGCAAATCACTTTTTGTTCGTGATCTTTTACGTTTTGTTGAAACATTCTTGGCATATTTTAAAATAAGGGTGTGTAATGCTTGTTTAGTAGCTGATTTGTAAAACGCTGCATGAAATTTCATGATATCATTCATGGTCAAAGAGTTGCACTGAAATCTCTTCTTATGCAAATAATTCGCTCGGGTAACATGGACGATTCGTATCTAAAAAGAAAAATAATTATTTGTAGTTACTTTAAAGTTATTGAGTTCTATCAACTCGACTTGACTTTGTTCGACTATAAAAGTAGCCTAATTCTGTTTCTACGTCCCATACATTCACCAAACTTTCGCACTTTTAACATGTATTAGTATGATAGGTACAATATTATTATACATAAAGGATAAAACTCAAAATGTGTTACAGAGGAACAATTTTATTTAATATTACTTATAAAAATATGAATATATATAATAAAAAATTATAATTGTTATTTTGTAGTTAAAAAATTAATTTGAGCGTACAACCCTAAAGAAAGTAGCTACTGACTTTAGTTTTTTTGACTTATTTTGCTTCCAGTTTTCGGGATTTACGGCTCTTTTCCTGGCTTTATTTTTAGGCACAACTTTAGGTCGGCAGTCCATCTTCACTTTTATATATATATTTTATTAAATTAAATAGTCTAAACCCTTATAATTAAGGAAAATAAGGATAATGCAGTTTCGTTAAAAACAGCCTTTGAAACAACTCGTCTCTGATTGGTCGAAATGGACATTACTAATTTTGTTATGTTAGTCAGGGTCAGGGACTTTCCCGAATTTGTTATAAAACGTTTTGTTTATGCACATATATCTACTGGATTTTACCAGATTTGTTCGAATCTTTCAAAGTGATCTAGTAAGAAAGATGTTTCCACAATCAATAAAATTAAAATAGACGTTTGACATTATATGGGACTTTGCCGCCTTTGTTATCCCTGATATATACCTGGAATTGTATGATGAGCCAATAATTTTGTTTACCATAATTTCTTCTATATATCTCAGCTGCAAGTACAAAAAAATCGTAAGTGTCATTTATATGTTTTAAACTACTAGAAATATGAATATACTGGGTTTATTGTAATATACCTAAAAGCTCTTGGACCATAATTCTATAGTCTACAATTATTGAATATTCATTCATAAAAAAATATCATTGTACTTCATATCTATATGTACTATATTGAACAATATGATTTTTTGTTTATTTATTATAAGCCAGTGCTTGACTACCTGGTGGTAAGTGTTGTTTTTATATATAGATATATATTTTTACTACTCTACCAAAGCTCTTGGTAGAGAGTATTGTTGTTCTACATTATAGATCTTAACTCTTATTTCATGAATTTTGTTCTCAGATTTGCACATGTCTCTTCGGAAGCAATGCGCCATGAATCAGAATTGCAACGGCTTGTACGAGCCTGGGATGATTTTGAGACAAAGAAACGTGCTGTGGAAGAATGGGCATCGAGAGCAGAAGCTCTTTTATCAGATAACAGAGTAGATTCAAAACAGGCTGTTGATTTCCATAAAAGGTTCTTCCAAGAAGCTGATGAAAGGGCTGTTTCCGAGTTAGTGAGGTCTGGACGAGAGCTTATTGAGGTAAGAAACACTAAATTGCATTTAATAAAATTTAGAAGGAAAGACCTCAAAGCATGTCATAAATTTGTTTTGTGGTGATATCATCGATCATTGTTGAATTTTTCCACTTTATACGTGGTAGAGCCATGCTGCAGCTATATTAGTAGTATAGTTGTAACACGAATGGGTTGGCTCGACCAGGGAAAGACCACGCTCTCAAGAATACCAGCGTCAAATAGCAGTTTAACACTGCTATGTTTCGTATGGTGAGTGTAGAGAACAGGATACCCTTATTACTGGAAACGAGGCATTCCATCTTCTCACGGGTGGCAACGCATCTGCATTTTGATTCGCAAACGAGGATAAATGTAGATGTCTATGGGCCACAGCGACCACTTACCATCAGGTGGACTGTGTGTTTGTTTGTCACCCTTATTCTATAAAAAAAACCTAAAATATCTGTTTGGTTTTACAAATTAGAAAAATACTTTTTCTTCTTATTGTTCTTCCCTGTATTAGAAATTTGACACTCAGGAATATTTTAACAATATGTTATTCAGGCATAAAATAGTTCTATAGTCTTGATATTTGATCAAGAATGTATCCTTTCGTCCATATAATCCCTTGTTTATATGGATGAAAGGATAATAACGTATAAGTAAGGATAAAGGTACTTTACTCCCGAATTCTTTCATATTTCAAACTAATTACCAAACTTGATTGTGATGTTAACCTGGGAGCAAAGATATTATTCATTCATATTTGTATACTGTTGCCACTCTGATAGTTTTAATGAACTGAACAGTTATTTAAAATGAATTTTAAATAACTGAACATAGACTGCCCCTACAAATTGCCTCATATGGATATTTGTCATAGTTCTCATGCTTGACTGTTGATTGCTTTCATGATTGCTGTTTTTTTTATTATTTGAAGTTGTAATTAGAAAGATGTGGATGGCCATCTAGTGTTTTAGTTTCCCTCTGTCACCTTTTACGACAACCACAGGAGAATGGCTACATGGCTTGAGGAAATAAAGTTATAAAATTTTAAATTTCTTTAAAACGTTGAATAAATAACATTCTTTACAGCTAGTTAATGCTGAAGACCGACCCCATATTGTTAAGACAGTCGAAGACTTACAACGTCGCTGGAAAGAACTATTAGACTGTGCACCTCCTCATCTTATGCGTTTGGAGTTCCGCCTCGACGAGGCTGTCTTCCATCACTGCATCAAGGATATTGAAAAGGAACTTGTTTATGAGGAACAGGTAATAATTTATATGTTCTTATTTTCTTAAACATTAAATCGCATTTAATACTATGAAATCAAACCAGATTTTTTTTTACTGATAATGCATTTTAGTTCTTTATAACACCTTCCATAAAACATGCTAAACTATGTTTTGAATGACTTGCATCAAAATAGCACTTTTTAAATTGCTTTCAAATTACTTGCATCGAAGTACCACTTTTTAAATTAATTTCAAATTACAAATGGATGTGTAAGATGAACTTAAACTTACCTAAGGATGATATGACTCTTTGATTAGCCTATTATTTAGGCCTCTTCCAAAAGTTTGGAAGATTTACTTGAACAGCAATACTCGGTAGGCAAAATAAAAATTATATAATATTATTATACTATGCAGTACTAGCTATTTACAACTGTTGATGTTTCTTATCAACTTATCCAGCCAAAAACTGGTGTTTTAGATCCTAAGGAACTTTAAAATGTAACAAGAGATTCCTAACATTTCATATTGTGCTTGCATCCTTTTTTATGCATATACAGGGTTATTTTTCAAAGAGTAGCCAAATTTTAAACTTTAGTTCATATATATAAATAATGATTTACTGATAACGCAGTTTTTGAAAATACAAGTAAATAGGGATTCTACTTTTATTTGACTAGCTGTTCCTCGCGACTTTGCCCCCATGTAATTTAGGGTTTTAATTTTGTTGCGTGGAACCCTAATTATTTTTTAAAAATGTAAGTACCCTAAGTTACTCCTTATAACATAAGCTATCTACCAGTGAAAGTCCCGTCAAAATCGGTCCAGCCGTTTCGGAGATTAGCCGGAACAAACAGACAGACAGACAGACAAAAATTTTAAAAATTTTGTTTCTGTTATTGGTACCATATATACTTTTAAATGCAATTAGTAAAAAGCTGTTATTTTGACATTACAAACAGATACTTCAATTTTATTTATTTGTATAGATTTTCCCAAATTTAATGTGATTTATGGGCATTAACGTTTTTGCCTACCGATCGACCCTTATGAATGTGTGCGTGCGCGTGTAAAATAATGCATTACTACGCATTTTGCATTTAAAAGATAAAAAGGACTGAATATTTGAGATTTATTTGATTAACTTTTTTCACCATTTGCCTATATTACTTATTCTGAACCTTCTCTGCAAATTTGGCCGGTTATTGTAAAATAACAATGTGTATTATTTGTTCACCAGCCTTTTAAAAGTCCACTTCTAAGTATGTACTTCTCCCTTTGTAGGGAGGATTTAACATAATTGTCATTCTTGGACTATTGTCATGCTAGACGTTTCACATCTTTCTCGCTGCTGCTCGTCGCCGGTCCGAAAAAAGAGAATCGATCAGGGATTTTCTACCACACGTCAAATCCTTGTCACTTACGCGCCCAGCATAATTACAATTGTCCGCACATTTTTTTTATACTAACATTTTTATACCTATTTTTATTTTAAACAGCAACTAAGCCTTTTATTATCTTTTAGGCCTATAATCAAAGTGACGATGCCGACGGCATTCTTATCAGAAATGAGGAGTACTTCCGTAACCAAGGAAAGATCATGCAAGTGGAGCACTGCCTTCAGAATTTAAAGAAAATATCTACAAGTTACACACAGCAGACTGGTGACAGGGCACTTGACGAAGCTGTCCGAAAATGTGAACAGCAATGGGAATCCACGGTTCACAGAGTAGAACACTTCAGACAACAATTACAGAGAATCCCAGCCAAATGGGATGCCTACCGGGAAAAGTTCCGGGAGATGGAGAAATGGATGGACCATGTAGATAGAACTATGGACAGCATAGTCAGAGAGGTTGACTCTGCTGAAGCTTTTGAAAGGGAAAAGACTATATTCCAAGTAAGTGTTAGAAACAAATAAAAATTGTATACTATCTTAATATTATTCAAATATTTTAATTGGACAGGACATTGTGAGTTGCTGTTCAAATTTATGGAAAGGCTTGTCGACAGGAAAAGCTAGATAAACAAATAATTTTGAATCTGTAATTCGTTGACTCTGCAGAGTATCGAGAAATATAAATTATCTTTAATAATTGCAGTTAGTTAGGAGCTTAGGTTAGGTAGTTTTGTGTTTTCATTCTCTTTTGTTGCGCTCTGCTTTTATTATATACCCTATTTCATATACGAAAATTGGGTACCTTCATATTTAAGTAAGTTTATTACTTCGCTAGTGTTTTTCTGAACTAAGTTCAAAATTTTTTTACTATATTTTTTTGTATAAACTATGTCATTATTCCTATATAATAGAAAAAAAAACCACAAATGAAGTAAAATATTGCATCGTCGAGATCCTGACTGTCGAAATTATTGCCCACAAAGGACGCGACAGAGGAGGGGATTTAAATATATATTTTATAATTATTTTTGTTTTCCGTGATTGATGTCTGTTTGTCAATTTATGTATATAAGTGCAACTTCGGTTCTTTGATGATTATATCCTCCTGACTTATTTCAACCACAGCAAAAATCTAAATATAGTTTTTGATGCTGTCATAGGATCTGAGATATTATTGTGCCACAAGTGTTTGTGTTAACTATGCAACAGTATCCACTTTCCGTCAACTGGACTGTGTGCTCATGCCTATTTTATAAAAAAAATCCTTCCATCTTTATATTCTGTGCCCAAAATAATTCTCATACGATACGATCGGAGGTAGGCTATGATCTACTTTTCTCACACATTTATACAATGATTTGTGATATTGCACAAATTTTCCTTCGTATTGGAATTCAAACTTAAGAGCCGTGGCTTAGCACTGTCACTAGGCCTATAAGGCAGGGCTTAGTAAGGCCCTGCCACATACAATTGAGAGTAGGGTGGTATGATATTTGAGACACAAATACAACCTAGCCTAACACCATTCCATAAATTATTAATTTCTGTGATAAAAAGAATTACTTTGCCTAAGATTCGAACCTAGGATTTGTGACTAATTAGTAAGCCTGGTTGTTTGTTTTTCTGTAAAAAGATAGTCAATATGATTATGTTTCCTAAGTTATTTATCTAAATATGTGTTTTATATAATATATATTTATTTAAATAAATATTTTATATTTGTATGCAACCATTTTATGCTTACTATGGAAACAGCTGAGAGAGTTGATGGTAACTATTTTTATCCTCTAAAAATACCATATGCTTATATTTATTTTGTAATTATTTACTTGGTTATCAAACTATTATTTATGTTTCTCTAGAATATTTGCCGTGAAGCCGATAGAAAACGGGAGGACATGAAATGGTTAGTCCAAACATTAGATATGTTAACACATCATTGTTCAGAAATGGAAGCACAAGATGAACAAATAAAACTTGAAAACCTTATTCAAAGGTATAAAAACCTAATCCCAACTATTGAAATCACAATGATTAAGACAGAAACATATACCAGATGTTATACATATAGGCGTGAAGTACATGAGGTAATATGTATATTAGAAAGTGCAAAAGAACAAGCCATGGTGGAGCCAGAACCTCAATCCTTACAACAGGTCGAACAGTTGGTTCTTGAGCAACAAGCTGCTGTTCAAAAACTAGATCGCCATCGACCTTCTGTGATGTCAATGTTACAAAGAGGTAAGGAGCTCATTAAGGACGCTAATGCTCCCGCCTTTGTAAGAGATGACGTCCGAAATCTCGAAACTGGTTGGAATACAGCATATGAGACTTCAACAGACCGTCTTCACAAGCTTCGTGATACACAAAAGGTTTGGTCTAATTATGAATACCAAAAGGAGGAATTATTGTCAGATATTGACAAAATTGAGAGCTACGTAGCGCATCCAGGCTTAGAATTAGGAGTAACTAATGTAAGCCGTGAGCTTCACGAGACTAAAGTAATAAATGATGATTTGGAAAGAGCTAAGAAAGAACGACTACCACAGCTACAGCAAGCTTATGCTGAACTGCAATCACTTACAGCCAATAAGCCGAAACCTGTTATTGAAAAAGACCTGCAAACTATTGAAAAAAAATTGGATAAAGTTCAAGATGAAGTTCATACTAAAGTCGAGCATTTAGAGAAATTTAATGAAGAGTGGGTAAAAATCGAGCGTAAATTGGAACATGTACGCGAATGGATTAAGAAAGAAAGTCCGGCTTTAATTTCTCAGATACGGTCAGAGAATATCACACCTGAAGAGAGGGTTGAGAAATCGCAAGGTTTGCAGAAAATAGTTGCAGAAAAATTGGACATAATTAAAAATGTTGCAGAGCAAGGAACCAAGTTGGCTATTGAACATCGCGTACATGACGCTAACAGGTTAAAAGGTGAAGTTGCATTGTTAGAAAAAATGATGGCTGACCTTCAAAGATCTGCAGAACATCAGACCAAAGTTGTAGAACATGATCTTGCTAGTTGGCAAAAATATCAAAAAGGTGTTGCTGAAATTAAACCCTGGATTGAAGATGCAGAAATTAAATTGGCCAATGTTCCTAAACCGACAACATTACCAGAAGCTCAGCAGTTACAACAGCACTCACGAGCTTTAATCACTGACTGTGAAAAACAGTTGATGAATTTACAAATTCTGTCCAGTGTCAGTCATCAGTTATCGGGAAAAACTAACGCTCCTGATGAAGTAGATGCTATTCATTCTAGATGGGCAGTTGTTCATGATCAAGCTGATCAATGGAATAACAAATTAGAGAAGCTCATTACTAATTGGGAAAACTTTGAGCGAGAAGCAGAAAAGCTTGAAAGTTGGATTGAAAGCGGTGAAAAGCTTCTAAGTAGTCGTAATATAACCGTCGAATCACCACAAGTTGAGAAATTAGATAGAGAATTAAATAAACTCAAATCATTTGCCAATGAAATTTCACAGCAGCAGGCAAAGATAATTACGTTATCTCAAACGTGTGATAATATATGTCATAGTGTACAGCCAGAAGGTGGTACTCTATTAAAGAATAAGGTATCCGACATCAAGGATCGAACAAACGCTCTCGCTGAGACTGTTCGGGCCAAAATAAATGAGCTGTCGGATAAAATAATTGTCCGACAGGAATTCATGACTAAACTTCATAACTTCGACAACTGGATTAATGACTTTAAAAGGAAGACTGAAAGCTTTGATCAAATTAGTGCAGATAGAGTAGAACCCTCGTTACAATCTATGCATGTTTTGCTTCAAGAACATGCAGCTAAAGCTCCCGAGTTCGCTGATATTTACAATGAGGTAAAAAATATGACGCTTACATCACATCCAGATGAATCGCGAACTTTAAGTGATACTTACACAAACATCGCTCAGCATTATCAGTTCCTTGAATCAGATATTCAGCAAAATAAGGCAATGCTGAAAAAATGGGCCGATTTACTTAACTGGTTTGAAGATACTAAACAACAACTAGCCCATATTCAATATCAAATCGATGGACCTAAACTTACACCTGAAAGTTATGAAGTGTTACGCCAGGAGCTTGTTAATATTATTACAAAGGTGCCTGAATGGAAGAGTAACGTTGTTCTACTTGATGGACCATCCAAAATCAAAGTGACTGATCAAAACACTGGTAGAATAATTTCACCTACAAGCTTAGTTAAAGAAATTGAAATGAAGGCTGAGACTTCATTAAATCAAGTCACAACTAAAAGAGATTTGGTTCAAAAGGTTGGTGCTAGATGGGATAAGTTTAACTTGCAACACAAAGCAGTGTCTGAAGTCTTACATAACGTCCAGGCGGCTTTGAATGAAATGGCTCAAAAACCTGTACTACTGACTGAAGTTGCAATTCAAGATTTATCAGAACGATTAGATCAGTTGGATACGGAACTGAAAGACAAACAGTCCATAAGGAAAGAACTACGAGAAGAGGGCTTACATTTAATGAGAGAAGATCAACCTAACATGGGAACAATCCAGAATTCACTATCTGCAGCTGACAACAATTGGGATCAAGTAGTTAATTCTGTTCGTGACACTAAAAATAAATATATTTTATTATCATCTACATTGCAAGAGTTGAAGAACTTTACTGTTGCGTTTGACCGAGAATTAAATAAAGCTCAACAACTACATAATGAATGCAAAAATGCTCCGAATGATTACGTGCAAACCGCCCAAGCATTAGATAAAGCCAGAAAATCGTATGAAATTCTTAAAAGATCCAAAGGTTTGTTAGATCAAATGGACGTCATTAAGCAGTCTGTACTAAAACAAGCATCAACATTAGGAGGATTCGACACGAGTCCTTTAGAAAATGCATTCTTAGAATCTCAGACACTTTGGGAAAAAGAAAATGATGCGATTATTAAGAGAATTCAAGATTTGGAATCCCAACTTCTAGTTTGGCGCCAGATTGATGACACGAAGAATCAAATAGTAACCTGGTTAAGTGAAACTGGGCAAAATTTATCGAATGCCTGTGATAATTTGGAAATAAGATTCGGGCAAAACCACCTTTCAAATTATAAGGAAGAGTTGCCAATATACACTGGACTTAAGAACAGTATAAAAGCTAAATGTGAACAGATTACAAACCTTAATAAAAATATTCCCATGGGACAAGTTTCTTCTATAATTGAATATCTAGATAAAGAATTTGAAGCGTTGCAAACGTTAGCTGATAACTTAGAAAGCGCAGTGTCATCTTTAGAGTCTAAAGAGAACAAATTAAAAGATAATATTAAACGTCTTTCTGATGGTGTTAGTAAAATCAGAGATGATATTATTAAATGTGATGATATGTCTGGAGATAATGCTAAGATATTAGATCGCTTAAAGAAATGTCAAGCTTGCAAAAATGAGCTACAAAATCTCAGTGATGAGATTGATAACCTCTCTCAAAATGTTTCTGAAATGAACGCGAACTATCCAGGATTCTATGAATCATTGGTTCCAAAAGAACTTAATACATTACAAAAAAGATTTGAAAGTGTAACAGTACATGCTAATAAAACGGAGATAACTCTTTTGACTTTCTTGCAAAAACTTTTTACCGATAAGCTTAGTATGTTTAATAGAAATTTGAAGATTTTAGATGATAAGACAAGATGGTGTGTACCAGATGTGTCAAGTGATAAATATAACTTAGAAGTCAAAGCTGCTGCTCTTGCCGATGTTGAGAATGGCATCGCTGATTGTAATCAAAAGGTGAAGGAATTAAAGGAGGCCTGTGAAATACTCAGTGTTGTTGCTGAACCTGCAACTGCTCAAGAAGCAGCAGTCCAAACAGAGAAAGCCCAAAAGAATCTAAATGTTTTGACAGCAAACTATGAAGAAATAAAAAATAGACTGCAAGAAAATATTGAAGCTTGGCAAGAATATGAAACATTATTAGAAAATGTTTCATTGTGGTTGAAAGAGAAAGAAAATCAAATAAGACAAGAATCCGCTAATCTACATGATATGAATGCAATTAAAGATAAAATTACTGAAATGGAAAAACTTAATAACGATATTAAAAATTACGGAGAGGAAGTTAATAAACTAACAGCGATTGGAGACAAAATATTGACCTGCAATCCTGAATCACGCGTACTGCAATATATTAATCACCTAGTAAGCAGATATCAAACTGTGAGTAAGTTTATGGATAACCATCTAAATAGACTAAAAGATCTTCAGAACAATAAAGGGACGTATGACAAATCAATCATGGAATTTAAAAATTGGCTTGAAGATGCTAATTCCAAGATTGCAGACTTAGCTGCAATGAGTAAACACGCTAAGCCATCCGCCGCTGATTTAGCACAAGTGAAAAAACTTAGCGAAAACAAAGAAATGGGTCAAAAACTGTTAAATAATGCTATTGAATCTGGTGAAGCCTTATTCAGTGGAATTAATCCAGAAGGACGTGAACAAGTGAGAAATGAACTAAGAGCTTTAAGAGATTATTTTGAAGATTCTGTCGATTCATTGAATAACGTTATTAAAGATATTGAAACAACTATAAACAAAAGGTCTTCATTTGATGACACGTTTAACCAAGTGCAGAAATGGATAAGTGACAAGGAAAAAGAGTTAGGCGATTTCAAGTTATGCTCTACGTTACCTGAAAAGAAAGCGCAACTTCATGCTAACAAGATCTTACTTCAAGAAGTTGAATTACATGAATCAATGCTTTCACAATTAACGGAGAAAATTAAATTAATGCCAGATGAAGAAGCGGAGAAAAGTCTTTCTAAAACCATAGACCGATATAAAGATATGTCGAAGGAACTTGGTACAAGAATAGCTGCTTGTGAGTCCCACGTTTCAGATCATGAAAAGTATGTGCAGATGTTTGAAGAAACTCGTGATCGCCTCAATCATATCGTTGCTGAAAATAGTATGTTAACTTACAGTGTTGTAACACAGAAGGACGATGTTGACGCCAAAATCTCTGCTATAGAGAAGGTCACGTCTAAAACACAGAATATTAAGAATATTCTTGATGAACTAAAATCGCAATTACACACTGTCTTAGAAAATACAAGTGCGAATGGACACCCTGTTCTTATAAGTGAATTTGAACAATTAAGTACTACTTGGGACCAATTTGCTATGCAGTGTGCAGAACAAGATAAAAAGTTGAAAGAGATGTTGAAGCAGTGGAATGAAAGTCAAAAAACTCTTGATGAACTTGAAGAATGGTTAAAAGTTAAGGAAAATCAACTCAGAGATCAAAGCCTTAAAAATAATCTTGAGGCTAAAATAGCCCACTTGCGAAAAGTTAAAGAGATACGAAGCGAGCTAGCTTCAAGAAACGCAGATTTCGTTGCCCTCACAAGTAACAAACAACCTGTTTCGAGTGAGTCTGAACTTACTAACAAGACATCTAAATTGGCAACGCGTTACCATACCTTAAACAACCTTGTAAATGAAATTATATCCAAGTATGAAGTATTTGTATCTGAACACAGTGCTTTTGAAAATGACTATAATGATATGGAAAACTGGTTGCTAGGTATGCTTGGTGAGCTACAAGACCTTAATGAAATAGTTGGAGACTATGCCATTTTACAAGAGAAACAAAACAAAGCCAAAGAGCTTTATGAAACCAGAAATAAGAAAACCCCTGCTTTTGAAGAATTTCTCAGTTTAGGAGAAAAGTTATATGCACACACTAGTCCCGATGGTAGAGAAGTTATACGTCAAAAGATTCGAAAAATCAGAACTTTATGGGACAGTTTTGGTGATAGTTTTCAAGAGACGGTCAATAAACTGGACCAATGTCTCTTACAATTTTCTGATTTTTCTTTGGCTCAAGAGCAACTTACTAAATGGCTGAAAGATGTTGAAAGAGCAATGCAGCGTCATACCGAGTTAAAAGCTTCTTTAGAAGAAAAGAAAGCGCAGCTACAAAACCACAAGTTAATGCACCAAGAAATAATGACTCACCAGCAACTTGTCGAATCTGTTTGTGATAAAGCTCAGCAGCTTGTTGATCAAACACACGATGCATCATTGAATGTATACTTACAATCAATAAAGCAATTGTTCCAGAACATCGTAACTAAGTCCCAAAACTTACAGGATAATCTAGAAGACTGCGTAAAACGCCACGAAGATTTAGTACGTCTTATCCAACAGTTTAAGGAATGGTTGGGTTCACAATCAGAAAAAATATTGGATTGTGAAAATGCTACTGGTGAAAAACCTGAAATTATTAGAAAACTACAGACTGTCGGTTCTTTAAAGGACATCGAAAAAATTGGTTCTAGTAAATTAGACGAAATCAGATCTATTTTCTCCTTGGTCAGCAAAAGTACATCTGAAGCTGGCAATGCAGCCATTAAAACAGAAATAGAGAACTTAGTTGCACAGCTTCGCAACGCTATTGACAACATTGAATCTTCGGAACATAAGCTAAAAAGTACTTTAGATATTTGGAACAAATTTGATTCTTCAATTGAAGCTATCACTGAATGGCTAAAAGACATGGAAACCAAATGCCGCGATCAGGCACTATGTTCAACATTACAAGAAAAAGAGGCCCAGTTAAAGCGATACGTTGATCTTCGTAACGATATCCACGCAAAAGAGAAGGAAATTGACTCCTTTGTTGATGAATCACATAATCTTATACAAATAAGTGGCGTAGAAAGACTAAAGCCTCTTGTAACACAAATAAGCAGCCGCTACCAACAGCTGCATGTTATTTCGAAAGAAATTCTTAATCATTGGTCCGAAGTGGTTGCTGATCATAAAAAATATATTCAGTTGAGAAACGAATTTGAAGCATGGTTAAAACCTTTAGAAGAACAACTGTCACAGATGATAACTAAAGAGGATAAGTTAAGCATTGAAAACAAGGGAAACAAATTACAAGTGTTCCTACTTGAAAGAGACAATGGCGAACACAAAATTGGTATTTTGACTACAGCGGGTGATAAAGTGTTGCCTGAGACTGCTGCAAACGGCAGGGAGAACATTCGTACTGAAATAAGAGTTTTAAGGGAGAGGTGGGATCAATTAAACGATAGTATATTACAGCAGCAAAAAGAATATGAGTCTCAAACGTTACAGTGGTCTAGCTATCAAGAGGTGTTACAACAAACTTTGTCCTGGTTAGATGAAAAGGAAAAAGTTGTTGAAAATGAAGAAAAAGTTGTCCTAAATTCAGCCCAAGAAATTAAATCAAAGCTTCTTAAAAATAAAACATTGTTGCAAGAAATTCTCTCACACAAACGGGTAATTGAAACAGTTACTGAAAAAGCTAAAAGTGTAGCTTCTACCCTCCTTACAGGTAAAGAAGAAAATGATGAAATGTCACGCATAATTCAATCTATTTGGGACAGATATAATGCCTTGACGAATAGGTTGTCAGCTATAATTGATAAACATGAAAGTACGTACGAAATCTATCAAAATTTCGCAGATCAACAAAAATCATTGCAAGACTACCAAAAACATTTGTGGGACCGTTTGCATTTACTGTCTGATTTTACTGGAAATAAAGCTGCTCTACAGAGCAAGTTAGGAAAAATTCAAGAACTACTTGACGCTATACCGACAGGCAGCAATAAGCTTAAAATCTTATCTGATTTAATAGAAAATGATAGTGCAAAGCTATCACCTAGAGGTAAAGATGGTATGTCGCGTGAATTAAGTCTTCTCAGGGCTGATCTAGAAAAGTTTACTACGACTGTTCATGATGTCAAGCGTGGCATTGAAGACAAAATACAGCAGTGGATTGAGTTTGATAGCGCCAATGATCGCCTACAGCACTGGCTCAGTGATACAGAAATGAGCTTAAAAACTTATACACCTAAAGCCACTTTGGAGGAAAAAGTTGATCAACTTAATAAATACCAGGTATGTATTTGAATTTATTATTATTTTTGTAAATAACAATGATGCTAATTATACAATATGTTAAACAGGATTTATGTAAAGCAATTGATTGTCACGAGACTGATTTGAATGTGGTCATAAGTCTGGGTGAAGCCTTGGATCAAGTAAGACTTATAGTAAAAAGGAACTTCAAATCCTCATTTTTGCACTATAAAAGTTGCTATAATTTTCAGTAGCGATTAATTTCACAAAAATTTTAGACTCTAACCAGAGGGATGATAAAACTACAACAAACAAATTTATTCTATATACTTATACTTCCCTTTTCTGTATGAATTTTGACTAACTATTTATGGTTTTTGGTTTAATATGTGTAGTAAGTTTAATTATAAGTGGTAATATATTAGAAGAAAATAACCCTTTTTGTCTATATTAATCGTAGTTGTTGTAGTTTAGTTTAAACTTAATGGTAGTGACATATAAACTCCTTAAAACTTAATGTTAAAAAATTTTTTGCAGGCAATTCTCGCCAACCTTAAAAAGACAGAGAACGATGTAGATAAACTAACTGATGAATTCAGTGATCTAATCGAAAATTGCAATGATACCAGAATTACTATGAATCTCCAGCAAATGACATCTCGCTTCCAATCTGTGCATTCTACTGCCAAAGAGCTAGTTAAGAAATGTCAGCAAGCAGTTAACGATCATACTGCATATCAAGATAAATATAACCAGTGTACAGACTGGATTAAGACAGCACAACACAAATTTGAAGAATGCCAGAAAAACTTATTAAATACCCCAGAAGGAATAAATGCTAAACGGGAAAGCTTAAACGAGTTGATGAGTCAACAGCGCAATGCAACTCTCTTAATGAACAATACAGTTGAACTTGGTGAGAAATTATATCCATCTACATCACCAGAAGGAAAAGAATTGATAGAACAACAGTTACAGGATATTCAACAGGCTATAGACAACTTGTATGAAAATATCACTAAGGCCGAAAGGGACTTGGATTCTGAACTAAGCAAGTGGTCATCTTTTGAAGATAATTTGAAGGCTGTCAAAGAATGGTTAACAATTGCTGAAAAGAACCTTCCAAAAGATATAGAATTAAAAGCTACTTTGGATGAAAAACGCCATCAACTAAATGTTTACAGAAACTATCTACAAGATGCTATTGCCCATCAACAAAGTATAAATGATTTAGAAACACGTGCTCAGACTTTACCTGATATTACGAAAGATATTAGAAAAGAGATAAACCAACTAAAGCAAAGGCAAGATGCTATTCTTGCAAGGGCGAAATCTTTTGTTGAGCAATACGAAGCTATTGTCAACAACCATCAACAATATACTAAAGCTGTTATGGATCTGCAGGAATGGGTAGAGGCAACTCACAATACTGCACAACTTTGGGGTGACGTCAACTTAGAAAGAGTAGCTTTAAGTAGTAACTGCGAAAAGCTAAAATCATTGCAAGTAAATTTACCGGAAGAAAAGAACCGCATCGATAAAATACGATCATTGGGTGAGAAAGTCTTACCTGGCACAGTAAGTAGCGGCCAGGCAAATATACGAAATCAAGTTGATGCATCACACCAAGAATGGGAGGGCTTAGTATCTTTTATTAATAAAACAATTGAAGGCTTAGAAAACAAAATTCAGCAATGGAATGAATACGAGAATATGAAAGATCAATGTTTGGCTTGGATTAGACATACAGACAATCAAATTCATGCAGTTGATCTTAAAGCAACACTTTCTGAAAAACAAGAACAATATAATAAGTTCCAAGAGCTACAAGGAGAAGTTCGTGCAAAAGAACTTGAAATCGATAACATTACAGAGAAGGCCCAACATCTATACACGGGTATGCTTGGGCCTCGTGGATCACAAATATCAGACCTTACTGTCAAATACCAAACTTTATCTCAAAAAGTAAAGGATTTAACAAATAGATGGCAACATTATGTGAAAACTCATCAAGAGTTCACAAGCAATGTCGCTGAATGTTCCCAATGGATTGAGGAGTTAAGAGATAAATTGGACTTTTGCGCTGATTTGAGCTCATGTTCACAAGATGACTTAGAAACAAAGCTAGTGCTGATTCAAAATCTGCTGCTATCGAAAGATGAAGGATTTACAAAAGTACAATCTTTGGTTGAACTGGCACAAAATGTTATGGCTAACACTGCACCGTCTGGCCATGAAGCTATTAATAACTCTTTGGTCACTTTACAAGAACAATGGTCAGCTTTATTATCTAGGATGATTGAAACTAAGAATATGTTGGACGATTCTGTAACAAAATGGGCAGGATTTTTAGAACAAATACAATTCGTTGATAAAAGCAACAATTGGCTGGAAAATATGCTTGCAGAGTTAACGCCTTTTGAAAGTTCCATGTCCGATAAGAGAGTTCAACTAGAAAAACTGAAAGAAGTTGAAGAAAAAGCACGCTGTGATCGATTGGATGTTGATACTCTTAAGGCTAAGGCGGCTGAAATGATTGCAAGTGGGCAACAAAATCAAGCTGCTACTAGAGCCCAAGAAGCTCTTAACAAGTTTGACTCACTTTATGACAAAATAAAGAAATTGCTTTCAGACCGCGAAGAGCAATATAAAGATCATCGTTTATACAAGGAAGCTCACGATGAACTTATTCAATGGTTGAGCAGAGCAAGAGAAAAAGTCCCTTCGTTAAAATCAAAACCTTTGAGCGACAAGTTAGCAATCGAAAATGCTGTAGCTCCATTAGAAACACTTATTAATAAACAAGCTCAAGGCGAGTTATTATTAGAGCACTTGCAGCATACTGGTGAAGTTGTTCTTGCTAGTACTTCACCCGACGGACAGACAACAATTAAGAATGAAATGAAAGCTCTTAAGGAAAGCTTCGACGATCTTTTCAATGAGATTAAACAACAAAAGAACCAACTGGAAGAAACAATTAACCAGTGGCGTGAGTACAAAGATGAATACGAGAGGCTTTCTGACTGGTTGCAACAAAAAGAAATTCTTATCAAAAATCATAAATTAGCTTTGCTCGGAACAGCTAAAGAAAAGGGGGCTCAGGTAAATGAAGTAAAGGAAATAGTGGATCAACTAAACAAAGGTAAGGCTGATATTGATAAATTCAATGCTTCAGCTTCCGGTCTTCTGTCGTCACATTTGGACACTTATGTAAACAACCAGCTACGGCATCTTAACTCCAGATACCAGGTTCTGGTCAACATGGCGAATGACGTATTGAAAAAGGTAGAAACTAACTACGAACAGCATCAAAACTATGACGACAACTATGTTAAGACAAAGAAATGGATTGATGATGCTTGGGAAATTACTCGTAGCGGTAGCGAGGCTGGTAGCAATAGCAGCAAAGAAGCGTTACAGAAACGTTTAGAACAAATTGAGGATCTTCTAAGACGCCGTGAGGAAGGTCAGAATCTAGTCCACGCTACTGTCAACAGTGGAGAGAAGGTTTTGAGAAACACACGATCCGACGGCAAAGATAAAATTAACACTGAATTAAAGGAGTTGCAAAACGAATGGGATCGTCTTGTTAAGAAAATGACGACAGCTAAGGTTCATCTGGAGACTGCTCTGCTCCAATGGGCAGATTACAGTTCCAGTTACTCTCAGTTACAGCAATGGATATCCGACAGAGAGGCGAAATTACAAGAAGTGTGTGAACAAAAAGTTGCCAAATCTAAGAAAGGTCAAGACCGCCTTGCTGGTCTCACTACCGGTCTTAGTCTCGGCGAAAGAAAAGCCACACTTCGTCAAACAAACAATATTGTACAAGATATCGTTTCGTTTGAGCCCATGATACAGTCTGTCACTTCTAAGGCTTCAGAATTGATGCAACAGGCGCCTGCGTCTGAAATTACCAGCAAATACGAAACATTGTCAAAGCAGGCTAAAGATTTATATGAAAAACAGAAGGAAACAGTCGAGCAACATCAAGCTTTTATTGATGCTGGTACAGATTTCGTTCAATGGATTAGAGCCGCTAAGGAGAGATTAGGAAAATGTTCCGACGCGACCGGCGACAAAGAATCGCTAAGCAGTAAAATATCACAGCTTAAAGTGTTGGAAAGTGAACTACCTGATGGACAAAAGAAGCTGCAGAAAGCTCTTGAACAGGGAGAGATATCTTGTGGTCTGGCTGACGATGACGACAGAGAGGAGATAGAGGAAGAAGTGGCTCTATTGCAAGAAGAATTCGATACCTATGTGTAAGTATATTTAGTACATAGATTTAATTTACAGCGTGATTACGGCGTAAGGGGAATCTATAGTATTAAAAGTTGATTAAAGAATCGCCGTCTAAGTGATTGCCAAACCCAAAATCCTCAGAGTATTGACGGGAGCAGGGTCGTAAGTTAGCCTTATTAATACATTTGTTTCACGTTTTTAGGGTTCCGTACCCAAAGGGTAACCAACGGAACCCTATTACTAAGCCTCCGCTGTCCGTCTGTCAGTCTGTCAGCGGACTGTATCTCATGATCCGTAACAAACAATAAAAATTAAAATAAATTAAAAATAAAAGACCACCCCCCCACCCCCCACCTAGAAACGATAGTATTACGATAGTACGGAACCCTTCATGCGCGAGTCAGAATCGTACTTGGCCGGTTTTTTCTGATCATGTTACCATTCCTTCTTGAAATAAGTATAATATTTAAATATTAAAACAATGTCTTATTATTTGTTTTCTCTGTCAGGGAGCAATTGAACAACACGAAAGCATTGATCGAAGGAGGTATCGTGAAATGGACAGAATATGAAGAGCAATATAAGGAAGCCTTGGATTGGTTGTCTAAGACTGAGAAACTCGTGCAATCTTTTAACAAGTTGCAGAATAACCTGGAGCAGAAGAAAGTTGTTCTTGAAGAGTTCCAGGTATATACATATTCTAGTGTTAGCTAGTTAGTTAATATATTAGCAATAGTTGCCGTCCGTAGTTTTATTTTTTTTTTTGTATAAATATTTCGAAACTAACTTGTTCAATATCTAGAATTATATCACCATCAGATGGTTTGTCGGTTTTAGTTAAATATTGACTGGGTTGGCTAATGATATAAACAATACCAAAAAATATTTCAAAAACTGAATTATTTACTGTTTTGGGCTTTCGTAACATTATAAATTCTATTAGGATAAATAGTTTTAACATTATACTCGGTAAATTAAGGAAAATTTTTAGATAGTATCCCTTAACATGCTAATTAATAAAATTACCTTGTGTTGCACAACCCAGGGTCACCTCCAAACCTTATTTGACTGGCAAGCTGAGTTAGACAAACTAAACATGCGAGCGCAGACACTTTTAGAAACCTGCGCCGACACAAGGATCTCTAATGGTATCACTCAGCTGACTACAAAATACAACGCCTTGTTATCTTTGGCTAAGGAGGTCATGAAGCGACTCGAGCTCCATTACCAGGTAAGCATATTATGTACATTCCGACAGTACAACACAGATAATATTTAAATTAGGTATTTAGAAAATTGTTTATTTTAAATCATTTACATTTTAATATGTATTAAAACGCAAATCTATTTAGGGCTAAAATATGATATTAAATCATAGCCAATTATTGTAGGAACACCAGCAACACAACGCTCTCTACGGAGAATGTCAAGACTGGCTGGACAGGACTCGTGAGAAGCTCAACCAATGCGCTGACATACCGAACAACCTTCAAGAAGTCAACAATAAACTCAACACGGTGAAACTTCTCCGCCAGTCTCTGGAACAGGGCCAGAACAAGTTGAGATACCTTCTGGAACTCAAGGAGAAGGTGATAATGAACACGGAACAGGCCGGCGCCGCGAAAATCCAAGAAGACACGGATAACTTGAAGCAGGAATTCGATAAGCTTATCGCCGACTTGCAGGACGTCCGTAATAAGTTGACGAGCAGAGCCTCACAGTTTGATGATATTTCTAAGGTAGGACAATTTGCATGCTTGTTACTGAAACTCATATTCATCTGTGATTATTTAGATTTTTTTTAAACAATAGATTATTACAAAAGACCATTGCTGAACATAGGCCTCTGCCTTAGAGTACCTCATATGGAATAATTTGTGATAGTTCACATGCTTGCCGTAGAATGGGATAGGATTGTAAAAAATTTAGTTTTTTATTATTTTCGGTTCCTGATGACCGATGGGGCTGCTGTCCATTTCCTGTTTTAGTTTAGTTTTACTCTGTGTGTCTGTTTTACTTATGACAGCCACATTATACGTGCTATAGACATGCTGTAGTTATATTATGGTTGTAGCACGAATGGGTCGGCTCGACCGATGTAAGACCATGCTCTGACATAATACCAACGTAAAATAGCAGCTCAATGCTGCTGTGTTTCGTATGGTGAGTGTACGGAACCGGATACCCTATTTACTGGAGACTAGGCATTCTATTCCACGGGGTGACGAGGCATCTGCGTTATGATTCTCAATCGAGGATAAATGTAGATGTCTGTAGGCTACAGCATCCATTTATCAGGTGGAGGTTTGTCACCCTTATTCTATAAAAAAGCCACGGGATTATATGAGGTGAAGTGTGGTAGACTGGCTGCTCCCTAACCGGTTCAGAAATGAGGGAAGGCTTGCGCTCAGCTTTGAGACCTATATAGGCTGTTATTTTACCTTTTAATGTAAGTATAACTTAGTGATAATGATGATAATGATTGTATTTTATTTCAGATTCACAAACTTCTGGTTGAATGGCTTGATGACATAGACCAGAAGATACAGTCAGATGACTCACTTCTCAATGATCTGTCGGAAAAGAAGGCCAAGCTGGAGAAATTCAGGACCTTCAACAGGGACATTGACTCCCACAAAGACCTTGTCAATAAACTCAATGAAAAGCTCCAAGAGGATGCATCGTTGAAATCGAAGGACATCGAAGACACCTTGAAGAGGTATGAAGACATCAAGAAGACTGTCAGTGAAATGATTGGTGTAAGTATTACATATTTCATAAATTAATTATTACTTTTTATAAGAGATTTGCGCGTCCACACGGATGCTTACGTTGTCGCGATATTTATTTTGACGCTTTAAATAAATTCAAATTCATTTATTTATTTGTGAATACAGTAAGTTAGGTGTTCGTAAAATTTACATTAGGTATCGTGTATTCTACCACAGTGTGGGGTACAAATAAAATTAAACATTATTGTGTATTGTGTAAGGGGGAATATTGCTTGTTAATTTAGATTTAGTTAAATTGTTTAGTTTACCTGGTAGAGCCATGCTGCAGCTATATTAGTAGTATAGTTGTAGCACGAATGGGTCGGCTCGACCGGGGAAGGAACACGCTCTCATAGAATATCAGCTTAAAATAGCAGCTTAATGCTGCTGTGTTTCGTATGGTGAGTGTAGAGAACCGGAGACCCTTTTTACTAGAAAAGAGGCATTCCATCTTAGTCCTCACGAGTGACAACGCATATCTGCATTTTGATTCTTTATTGAGGATAGATGTGGATGTCTATGGGTCACAGCAACCTCTTACCATCAGGTAGACTGTGTGCTTGTTTGTCAAAGTATCTTCCTATAAAAAAAGTTAAGCAAACGAGTACGCAACAAATTGTATTAAACTTAAAAATGGTAGATATTGTTAAGTTATTTATTAGCTGTATAAAGTATTACTTATTAAAAATAATATAATTTGTTTTCTTCCCCTCCACAGAAAGTTGAAGACTATGTGAACTCCCACATACAATACAAAGAATCCTACGACAGTTTCTATGACTGGATACGCAACTGTAAGATCGAAATCCAACAATGTTCCGACTCCCATGGGGAGAAGCAGGAAGTGCAGAAGAAACTGATTAATGTCAACAAAATCATTGAATCTCTGCCAAAAGGCGAAGCATTGCTTAAAAAGGCAATACAGCTGAGTGAAGCTGTATTGGAAACGACTGGGAATGAAGGCAAAGACAACATTAACCAGGAGATCAAACAGTTGAAGATAGAGTGGGAGAATTTGCAGCACATTTGCAAGGACACCAAGAAGTTGTTGGAGAAATGCCTCTCTGCTTGGTCAGACTTCTTGGAGACGTCGGAGAAGATGAGCAACTGGGTCAAAGATTTCGATGGCAAGTTAAGTGCTGTCCAAAAGGTTGATAAGATCACTCCTGAATATCTGGACAAGTGTCGCGTAAGTATTCATTTATATGGAGTTCGTGTGGTTATTTTTCGATTTCGTAATTTGTTATGTTAAGAAATTAATTGATATTGAATCTTCAAGATCCGAAAATATTTAGAAAATATATTTAATTTGGAGTGCTTCTTTAGATTAAATAACTTTGGAAATTGCAAAATTAAATATCGTTGGCATTCATAAACTTAAATATCTTTGGGAATCGTATAAAATTAAATATTTTTGTCAATCCCAAAACTAATATATTTGAAAATCGTATAATGCTGTCATGTTGTTTGGTGTTTATTAAACTTTATGTTTCATTTTAGGATTTACTTGCTCAAGCACTTGCAAACAAACATGTCTTAGAAGAGCTTAATGACCGATGCGAGAATCTTATGGAGCTCAGTGCTTGCGCTTGGGTCCGCGACAAAACTGTCAACCTACAAACTGAATATACATCCTTATTAACGAAGATACAGAGCTTAGTTTCTAATGGTGAGAAGAATTTATCAGATCACACTGAATTTATCAAAGCCAAGGAAGAACTGCAGCAATGGTTGGAGACAGCTCATGGTACAGTACAAGATTCGATAGGAGTTGGTGACATTGAAACCACCAAGGACAAACTGGAAACTGTTAAGCTCGTTAGTAACAGAATGACAGAGGGACACCATCTGCTAGTCGTTTTACAAGAGGCGTTCAAGAAAGCCCTTAACAATACTCCACCTGAGGAGCAAGACAGTTTGCGCAGTGACGTTCAGGTTCTTCAAGAAAGCTGGGATCAGCTGAAAATCGATCTAAACTCTATAACTGCTCAATTGAAAGCAGCAATCGGCAAATGGGAAGATTTCGAAGAATCTAAGAACAAACTCAACCAATGGATGAACTACACAGAACAGAACCTTGATAAAGTGCCTGCAACGGGTGGAGAATTAGGCGAGATGAAGACATTGCTTGAAAAATACAAGCACATTGAAGATGAAATTGATAACAAGAAGCCAGAATTGGCCCGGCTTAAAGACGAGGCTGCTGAGCTTAGCGGATGGGCAAGGAAACCAGCTGTCAAGGAATCAGTGACAGAAATCGAAAAGAAATGCAACGCCTTAAGAGCCAAATGTAGTGCAAAGAAAGCGGAGCTAGAGAACGAAATCAAAGATTACAATCAGTACCACCAATCGTTGCAAGACACAGAGAAATGGCTTTTGCAAGTCTCATTCCAGCTCATGGCGCACAATTCGCTTTACATTGCGAATAGAGAGCAGACAGAAGAACAGTTAGCACAACATGCTGTGTTACTGGACGATATACAGAAGTACCGATCCACACTAGACGATTTGGAAGCTAAAGGTCGTGCACAGATTGAGCGTTACGAAGGTACGACACCTTCTATTCGGGATACTGTCGGCAAGCAGTTGAAGAATGTCAACGATAGCCACAAGAGCCTTTTGGCGACTGCGCTACAAATCGAAAGACGCCTCAGAGAAGGTCTTGCCAAGTTTAAGGAATACGAAGACACTTTGGAGAGTATATTGAACAATCTAGACGAGTGTGAGCCAGCAATTACCGAGCTCGACGTTCCGGTCGATGGACTGTCACATGGCCGCGATTTGTTGGACAAAGCTAGGGTAAGTTGATGAATTTTTACGTTTAACATTTCTTCTTCTTAACCACCCCGTAACAGTTCACTGCTGGGTATGGGCCTCCGAATAGTATAGGGTGGATTGGCGGCTGCACTACCAGATAACTCGCGCTACTAGACAGTGGTCTTGCAGTATACAAAGTCTTTGAAGGCCATACTGCAGTTATATTATGGTTGCAGCACCTAGGATCATGCTTTCATAGTATTTCAGATTGATATAGGAAATGAACTTATATTCTCGGCTGCTAATGGTCGACTACGGATGTTACGGAGATTGAGCGTAATTTAGTGCACAAGGTATAAGTTCTGTAGTGTATATATATACAATATGTAACAAAAACCTTGTGGTTCCCGTTAAGTACGTTATCAGGATCATTATTCAAATGTATAGAAATAACTTTTTTTTAAAACTTGGTGTGGTTTGCCGTGTGGTCTGCAGACGGAGATGGCGCGTCTTTCGGCTGCGGTAGCGGCGTGTCTCGTCACCGGACTCAGATTTACTTAGTCTGTATCATGAAAAGTTATTGTGTCTCTTGCTATGGCCTCGCACTGTCGCACAGATTTAGTTCGTGGTGTCTGTTCTAGTACATAGTTCAATGGCACAGGCAAACCTTTTCTTTAAAGTGTAATGTGTATGAGTTTTTACCTTAATATCTACTACTCCATATCATTTCGTGAGTGTATTTAGAGGCGATAGATGGAAACAAATCAGGAAATAGGTACCAGCGTCTCCCTAAAAACGACTAAAAATAAAAAAAAACTGCGGTTACTAACTCGCATGTCAAGCGCGGTAACTATGGCAAATATCCCCCCTGTGAGGCAATTTATGGGGAGGCTTATGTTTAGTAATGGACTTATAGTCTGTAACGGTATTGCTCTACAGGTTTAGCGAGCCGCCATTTTTATTCCCTTTTTTTATCTGCACGAGTTGTAAGACTGTTTTGCCCAAATACTCAAATGCTGCTCAATTTTAACCCCGTCTATACACCATCTGCCATGATTGGTAACCTTACAATGGAGCATGATTGTCACAATCATTGTGCGGCTGCCCAAATAATCGTGCATTTTACATATTTGTGTTGTCATCTGTCCGAGATGGACGTCGAAGCAGTTGCAGCTGCCGTTATTTGTTTTTCTCTAATTAGTTTATATGTATAACCATTATTTAAATGTATACCTTAAAAGAGTGGTGAAAAAAATGGAAGCAAAAAAGTTGGATGTTAACTATACATCGAAATAAAAACAAGCTAAGTTTATAGAGCACCGGCGATCATGTAGACGCGCGCATGATTATGACCGAACTTCCTTTGATGATTGTTCGAAAAACCGACATAGTAGACATTACGCTCGATCATTACCGATCATGGGCGATTATAGACGATTATGCCTCCTACACGATTGTGATCGTTAGTATTCGTCCATCATGGCCGATTGTGTATAGGGCCCATAAGATGTTTTTTTTTTTTTATAGAATAGGGTGACAAACGAGCACACAGTTCACCTGATGGTAAGTGGTTACTTTGACCCATAGACATCTACATTTATCTTAAATAAAGATTTAAGATGCAGATGCGTTAACACCCGTGAGGACTAAGATGGAATGCCTCTTTGCCAGTAAAAAGGGTCTCCGGTTTTCTACACTCAACATACGAAACACAGCAGTGTTAAGCTGCTATTTTACGCTGGTTTTCTGTGAGAGCGTGGTATTCCTCGGTCGAGGCGACCCATTCGTGCTACAATTATATTGCTAATATAGCTGTAACATGGCTCTACCACGCAAAAATTTTATGAACTTATAAGTTTCGTGCCGTTTATCATTTGTAAGTTAAAGTGAGTGTGACACCACGAGGCTAAACGACATCATAAAATTGAGTAGGTTTATGAGTTGGCCGTATTGAGGTAGTGTTGGTGTGGGGCGCAGGGGCTGCACAACCGGCTGCAGACGGAGAAGGCGCGGCTGTCGGCGGCGGTGGCGGCGTGCTCGGCGGCCGCCGCCTCGGTGTCGCGGCCCGCCTCGCCCGCAGACTCGGCGCCGCTGCCCGTGCCGCCGCGCGAGCTGCTCGTGCGCGCGCGCCTCGAGGACCTCATCGACCAGGTGCGCGCGCGCACACACACACACATACATAACTAGCAGCCTCGACCACCTCGTCCACCAACTACACACGCACCTGCATACACTTTCGCGTCGCACACACACGCACATCAATAACAGCCTCGAACACACACACTCACGCCACACACACGCGTGACTAACAGTCTCGGAAACTTCGTCGACTAGATGCGCGCAAATACACGCACACAAACGTCACCGACAGCCTCGAGAACCTCGTTCACCAGGTACTCACGCACCTGCATACACTTTCGCGTCGCACACACACGCATCAATAACAATTTCGAACACACACACTTGCGCCGCACACACACGTGAACAACAGTCTCGAAAACCTCATCGACTAGGTGAGTACACACCTACACACTCACACTCGCACATTCTTGAATAACAGCTTCGAGAAAATCATCAATTAGGTACATCCACTGCACACCAGCCTACACCGCACACAAACATGAGTAACAGCCTCAATGTTATCAACCAAATACGTGTTAATCTATTACGTGTGTACACACCCACATACACTTATAAACTATAGAAGGAGAGAGATGTGTGATGTGTGAACTGTGAGAAAACCTCACAGTTCACACATCACACACACACACTAAACACCACAATACGATAATTTACGTTCGTTAACGCTACATAAAACTATATTACGCATAGTTTCTGACAATGTTTCTCTATAGAAGCTACTCACCAAACACTATCAAATCAACGCAAACATGGTGTACTTGGTATGAGCCTTCGCAGAGTTTCCCAGAATGAATCCTCAACAATTCATGTACAAATACTACTCACCTGGCTCTAATAAACCTATATTTATAATATTCTCATCAAACACAATATAAGAAAAGATAAAGTCAATATTAGAATTTTGAGTCCTTCAATTTATAAATATGATTTCAAAGATGTCCTCAGTAGCTACATAAAAATCTATCATTATCTCCCCTCTCCTATAAAGCATGATGTTTTGAACTGTGTGTGTTTGCTTTAATTATAATATTATTTGTGTCTTTCTGTCTTAATTAATTTTAAAGCTTCAATATTGTTCAACAAAGATCTAATTTTTAAATAATTGAAAGATTTTGTTATTAAATAATTTTATATATTTGGAAAAATTACCAAATATTTACTAATATTCCATATTAGCGTAAAGTACCTGTCTATTAAAGTTGTTAAGATTAATGAAAATGACAACAAATAGCATTTATAAAATATTTTAAAGTTATCGATAATTATATTTCTACGTCAGTTAGTAATATTTCTGCAGCAGTTAGACTAAATATAGTAAGATAATGTTTTACAATTTAATGTATTGCTATACCAATCTAAAATAAATTTGTTTGCTGTTTATATGCTTAAGTTTGCCAGGTCCGAAAAAGAACAGAACCAACGAGTTAGTATAAGTTTAAAAGTAAGGTATTTTCTGATATATTTGTACAAATAGTCTAAAGCAGTTGTAGATAGACAATAGAGTAGATGGGATGTAAAAATTGTACAGGCTTTGTCGTTGGCAATGTGTTTTTTTGCACCTGGTATTTACAATATGAAGCAGAGAATAGAACACTTGATTATCAACGCACATTTAATTCTGCTTTAATTTACTAAAGATTTTTAAAATTGAGTTGAGCCATTTATATTTCTTTTTTTACGTTCTCAATTATTTTTACACTTATGTCAATTATATTTCGCAAAAGCAGTAAAATAGAATTTGACTTAGTAAATAATGAAGTTATGTTGTGATTCGATGATTTACAACAAATTTTGTATGCTTTTACCTTTTTTGTGAGTTTTCGGCAGAAGAAATAGATTTGAATTCGATACAAGAATACAAATTTTTATCCCGAGTGGTATTTATTTATATTTATTTGTTTTGCTTATAAGAAACATTTGTTTGCAAGGCATAGTTTCAATTTTAATAACATGGCATTTACGCCCTTACAATACTAAAATCATTTAAATATAATAGTTTTATTAGTAATTGGCTCGACTCAATTTTTATTAAGAAATTATTGACATAGCATAACGGGGCGTGAATCACCAGATGTTGTTTGTTTAAACACGTGCACCTGTGTTTTATACCATGATTGTCACCTTTTAATACACCGCGATCTGTGGCGATATTATCATTTTATGTGAGGCAGAAAGTAATTTATTTGACTAATTAATTCTAATTACTTCGGAAACGTCTTGTTTTTTTTTAATCTATACAAATAAATAAAATTGAAGTGTCTGTTTGTAATGTCAAAATTACAGTTTTTTACTAAATGCATATGAAAGTAAATACGGTACCTATAACTAAAATACAATTTTTAAAATTTTTGTCTGTCTGTCTGTTTGTTCCGGGTAATCTCCGAAACGGCTGGACCGATTTTGACGGGACTTTCACTGACAGATAGCTGATTTCATAAGGAGTAACTTAGGCTACTTTTGTTTTAGAAAAAGAATTAGGGTTCCGCGCAAAAACATAAAAACCCTAACACGCGAACGAAGTCGCGGGGAACAGCTAGTTTTAAATAATTGTATGCAAATTTATTTGCATTCTATTTGTTTCTAATATTGACAACTAAAAGCGTATTACTTGCTGGAGTTGCCTTAGATTTATACACGCCCTATTCACATATACAAAATCAAATAATGTTAAAAAAACTTATACGACTAATAAACAATTAAAAACTAATGATTTCGCTGTATTAACTATTTAAGGGTAAAATTATTTTTACATGCGACATGTAAAGATGAATCAAGTACCTGATTTGTGTTAAGACATGTGTATAACTGTCCCATACATTGCCATCGTAAGGGTAATAAATTTACGTTTGAATAATTATTAAAAATAATCTTAATCCTTCAATTATAAATTCGGGAACTTTCTGGCCCACATTATAACTACGCGTACTAACACGCACGGCGTTGTTGCGTTGCTGTGAGCATGCTGTATGTCCTTAGAAACGTATGAGCGAGGTGGGCGCGGCGCCACGAGCTGATGTCTTGATTAAGAGCCTCGAAGCGCCCGAGTTCAGCGAGAAACTGATCTCTTTCGAGCGTAAGGTAAGGCTTTTGCACGCTACACGTGGATCGCAGAGTGGAGAGAACTTAGTCCCTACCATCATACTTAGTTAGGTTTGGGTAGAGTGAATGAATTTTTCTTGTGTGTTGTTTTGTTTTAAATTTGTCTTGAGTTGTTACAGTTGTTTAATTTTTTTTTAATTTATTTGTGACTGTCAAATGTGATATAAAATTACACATAAATATATATTTAAGACAAACATTTATGTAAAATAATAAGGAAGCACAAGACCCTTAATAATATCATTGACTACTCTGAATCAATATTCCTAGTTCGAATAATATTCTCTGGACCATTAGCACGTCCATATAGCTTATTATATCTAAACATAATAAACTTTTCAAAAAGGCCAACATAGATATTTTTGGGACAGCTTGTTATCTTAAAGGGAATGTTAAAAGTAATACGAGAATATTGATATTTTTTTACCCTATATGAAATTAAAAATAAGATTTTGTTATAGTTTCGTTTTATGGTATTAGTTTTAATTTCATTTCATTAATTTTGGAACTTTATCCAAATTTTAAATTATTATGCTCAGATTTTGAATTAACTAATTAAGTTAATGTTTAAGCGTGTATATATACTGTTTTGCTTAAACATATTGTAGCTAAAGTGTACATAAAAAAAATTCACCGTAGATTGTTAAATGAAATATCGTAAGTCGTAACGTTCATATAAATCAAAATAATATTTAAATTAAGTTAGGTTAGGTATTACTTCGACACGCAATCCTTCAAGCTTTTTAAAACATACCTGTACATTTAAAACATACGTAGTACAAACACTAAATCAATGCATTATTAAAATCACCAACATTATGCCCACCTGCAACTGGCAATTTCTAACATACCATTTCTCTTTAGGTACAAAGTCATCTTGAAACCCTCGGAGATGCTGTCCAAGGTATGGAAGAGGCCATGAAACAAGTGCTGGAGATTCAAGAATGGATTAACGTTCATAAAGCTTTAGCTCATGATTGGCTCTCCAATCCATCGAAATTGAGACCCGAAGCGGCTAAAAATGATATGGCTGCCATGAATGATGCTTTGGCTTCTCTAGCTGAAAAGAGGAATCGGCTGCTAACTGAAATTCCTACAGAAGGTAACACTTTTACTTACCTTTTCCTTACACGACAGTATTAAATTAGTTATCAAGTATAAGTTTATACAGGGGGATATTTTTCAAAGAGTAGCCAAATTTTAAACTTAAGTTTAAATATATAAATAACTAGCTGACCAAACAGACGTTGTTCTGCCCTTTCCGACGACCCTTCATATAAAAAATCTTTAAATTCGTAATAAAAAAAAATATGGAATGTCACTTAGCAGAATAAAAACTATCCTATTTCTCAAGTTGGACCAAACTGCACAGAGTGTGCAAAATTTCATTGAAATCAGTTCAGTACTTTAGGAGTTCATCGCGGACAAACAACGTGACACGTAATTTTTATATATAAAGATTATATACCGTTATTGCAGTTTTTGAAAATACGGGTAAATAATTCTTTTACTTTTATTTGAAATTATTATATGTATAGACTAGCTCCAAGAGAACCAAGAAAATTAAACTTAAACTGTTTTTTTTTATTGGTAAATTGGTAAGTAAAATATAATTTTAGAGCAGATGGCCGCGTTGCTTCTCGATATATCATATCAAGAAAACACATCATCACTGAACACGTAGTGCTTATAAAAATCGTTGTTTCTTAAAACTTTAATAACTTTATATTAAATGAAGATATGGCAATATATTTTTTTAGATAAGGGCCAAATGTCTAAGAAATAAAACTTAGGAAACCTAATTGAAATCTATCTAGTAGTTTTTCCGTGATGCGCGCACAACTGCAAACCTCTTTTATTTATATAGATTATCTCAAATTGAATGTGATTTATGGCAACATCGTTTTCGCCTACCGATCGACCATTACGAATGTGCGCACTAAAATCAGTTAAGGTAATGTATTACCACGCATTTTGAATTAAAAAGATAAAAAGGACAGAGTTATTGAGATTTTTTTTAAATTAATTTTTCTTCACCATTTGCCTATATTACTTATTCTGAACCTTCTCTGCAAATTTGGCCGATTATTGCAAAACGGCGATTTGTACAGGAGAATGGAAGTGAAGTACGTAGTTTTATGCCGACCCCAAGGTACTTAGGATAAGGCCAGGAATAAGTTTCTTTGAAAAAAAAAAACAGTTTTAACTTTAATTTTATACTATTAAAAATACATTTACTATTATAAACTAATAAACAACTTGACAGTCAAGTATTTATAATATAAATCGAATCCCCAAATAACATACGCATATATAAACTGAACATGGTTAGTCTAATGTGGATTAATGAAACGTTTCCAACATTGCTAACGTGCTTCGTTTGGCTGACTGCCAGGAGCATGTTCACGCATGAACATTGGAGCAAAGCTCGCCTGATATCTCTTCGGATGATTTACATAAACCAAAAAATTTATGCGATTCAGGTTATTTACAAAAATTACAACATTCTATTTTAAATTGTGGACGTTTTATATTGTTTGACCTATATTATAAAATGAGGTGATTGCGTCTATATTATCTATGACAATAACAAATGCTATTTAATTTTAACGTACTAAATGGTAAAGTAATCTTATGATATACTTAATTATTAAAATCTAACATACCTATCCGTGTAGTGGCAGTGTAAGAATATTCACTACCCCATATCGTCCCAAGAGTGTCGTACAAGGCGATTGAGGGAAACAAACCGGGAGATGGGCAGCAGTGTCTTCCTAATAACAATTGCATAGTAAATTAAAAAAAACAGCGGTTGCCAACCCGCTGCCAAACGTGGCAACTAGGGCAAATATCCTGAGACAACCTAAGGGGAGGCAGTGGTGACAGCAGTGGACTATCAGAGGCTTTGATGGATGGATTGAAATATAATTTTAGATAAGAAAAGACTAATACGAGAATTAGGTTTGCTTATTTCTATTGCATCGTATGTAAACAGTAGACTTATAAAAGTAACGAAAGAAACTTATTCACAGGGCTAGAAGATGAAATCAACCTTGAAGAAGAACTAGACAACCTTGAGAGGACAATACTTCAAGCTATAGAAAGAGAAAAGGCTAACCAAGGCATCATTGACGACTTCCGCCACAAGTGCCAGGAAATTCACGACTGGTTTGATTCGGTATTGAAGAAAATGTGTCTTGCCGACAAAGGCTCTGGTCTTCCATGCCCTCAAAAACTAAGCGCATTGAAAGAGCTTTCAGCCGAGTTTGGTCAAGCTGGAAAAGATAAGGTTGATAATATCAAGGCTGTTGGAACGCAAGTGATCAACATTGTTAGTAATTTGGAGTCGCAACAAGTAGAAGAACAAGTAAGTGTTTTTCCAGCAATAATTTTACTTAAAATATTTAAGAAAATGTCAGGAAGTAGTGGCCAGCCTCAAATTAAATATTTGTTAAATCTCTTTATAAAAACATCACAGGTTCACATAGGTTATAATGGCATTAAGTGATAACTATATTTACCCAAACATACAAGTCTTCTTTCGAAAACCCACCTAGCTAATTTGATTTTTTTTCATTTTTGTGGTTTGGATATGCACTTGTACTTGTTTCACAATAAATATTGTGAAGCGAAACAAATACAAGCGCAAATCTAAATCACAAAAATCCCAAGTTAAAACAATCGCAAGTATTAATTGCATATGATTTATTTACCTTTCTTTCTCTCTCTTCTCATTGGATATTATCTCTTTCATACCTATAAATATAAGTAAAGCTAGCCTACTATCAATTCAGGCAGCTTTTTACTTAACTATCTTACTTAAGCTCTTTCGTTAATTACGCTTAAATAATAATAATGAATTTGTTTTAGATGAAGTCGGTAGAAAGGAGATATAATGATATCGCGAAACGGATCCAGCGCAAGCTGCAGATGCTTGAAATCACCTACAAAGCTATCGACGGTACTAAGAGCGAGGTCAATGCTCAAAACGAATGGTTGCAAAAGGAAATTGACAATATTCTTCACCCAGAGCCACTTGGCTATGAAAGCAAATCGGTCAAAGAGAGACAGAAGAAGATAGCAAATCTCTTGAAAGAAACTGACGGTAAGAAGACCGTTATAGACTCTCTGGAAAAGAAAGTAAGCAACATCCAAGCTGAACTTGAACCTTCTGAACAAATGCAATTAGAGTCAGAATTGTCTGAACTTTCTTCAAAACAAAAACAACTGGCTTCTCTTATCAAACAAGAGATCGAAAGATTAAGCGGCTGTGCTGAAGTTAGAAAGAAGTTTGAGAACGATGTTGAAAAAGCCAAGAATTGGCTTAAATCTAAATTAGCCGAAATTAAGAAACTCGGAGGTCCTGTTCCATTAGAAGTAGCTAAGGTTGAAAAGGAAATTGCTGTGCACAAGAAACACCAAAGTGAATTATCAGATTTCAATAACGATACACTTTCCGAGGTTATACGTCAAGGAAATGCTGTGTCCAAAGATTGCTCCCCGGAAGATCGTGCAAAATTACAAACTTTACTAGAAGGTCTGAATAAATCTTACACATCTGCTAAAGTAGACATAGATGAGAAACTAGCAGCTTTGAATAAGTTACTTCAAGGTAGGAATGAATTTGAAAACGATGTTGCAAAATGCCAGGGCTGGCTGAATGAAGCTGAAGTCGCGGCCACTCCTGAACTGCGCACAACAAGTCTACAACTTTTAGAAGAACAATTGGCCAAGTTTGAAAAGCTTAGCAAAGAAGCCGAGGATGTAGAGAAGAATATCACCAAAATAAAAGACAAATCAAAGGACATCATGGAAACATTATCAGACTCCAACAAACTGCAACTCAAAGAACAAGTCAACGTTCTTTCTGACAAATTCGCTAGGATTAACGCTATTATAAATGACAAAAAGAACATTTTAATTAAACACATTAAGGAATACAAAGATGCCGCGGCTAAGATTGCAGCAGCTCTTGAATTCCTAAATGAAATCCAGAACAAACTTAAGGCTCTGAACAAACCTATAGGCAGTAAAGTTGAGGATGTTCAACCCATCATTCAAGCTTATGAATCCATTCTTGCTGATCTCAAGAAGAATAAGTCCATGTTGAACGAACTTCAAGGAGGTAATCTACATGATCTTCAAGATATACTCACTCAACAGGATGATCTAATTAGTACCATAGAAGATCAGATATCGAAACTGAAACAACTCCTGCTCCTTCGTGAGCAATTCTTCGCCCTCGTTAAGGAAATTGAAGAATTCATTGCTAAATATACAGACGTTACTGCCGAAATCGAAAGGTCTAATGACTCATTGGAAGACAAGATCAAGCGCTATGACGACATCATTGTTAAGATCCAAGGATGCGAAGCACTTCTGGCGACAGCTACGGACAAGGGTCAGCAAATCGCAGCGGAAGGAACTGTCATCGATAGAAACAACATCACTGAACTTCTACAATCCCTGAAGCAACAACTCCTAACCTTGAGAAGAACTGTAGAGTCAAAGAGGCAGGAACATGAAAGGGCTGCCGCAGAGCACAAGAAACTTGCAGCAGATCTGTCTGAAATATTGCAATGGCTTCATGACAACGAGGCCGCAGTGCACTCACGTCCGCTATTAAACAGAGATGTAGCTAGCGTTGACAAGAAGCTAATCGAACACGCCACTCTAGCCAAGAATGTACAGTCATATTTGGATAAATTCACAAAGATCTCTGACATTATTAAGGCCGATGATGGTGTACCTAGTTCTCTTCTCGAAATGGTATCGGAGGGTAACTCGTTGAAGACATCTTTACCCGAAGAATTAGCTAACAGAGAGAAACACTTGAAAGACAACAAGAAGTACAGGCAGCAGTACATCCAAATGGTAGAGAAGTTGAACATTTGGGTGAATGAGGCCGGAATCCGATTGGACATGGGCAAAAACGGCACTGATTTCGAAAACATCGAGGCAGACTTGGAAGAACACAAGTCATTCTTCAATACCTCCGAACCGGAGATGAAAGATTTGGTCGGAAAGAAAATGCAGAACATTGTTGACAAGATCTGGCCATCTCTGACTGCTTCTGAGCAGGAAGAGTTGTCCAAAGACCATCAGAAACACAACCAACTTTTGAAGAACACACTGAATTCGGCCAAGTCGCGCCAAGCTCAACTGGAACAAGACTTAGAAATCTGGAAAGACTTCTGCCAACTGGTGGAGAAGATCAAGGCAATGCTGGACAAGAACGACATCCAGGATGAGGCGATCACATCGGTGGACGCCTTACGAATGTACCTGGAGAAGCTCAACCATGCCAGAAACGATTTAGAGGTAAGTGTTCTTTTTAAATTTCTGACTCTGAATTTTTGGAATTTTTACATGTTTAGTTTCCTTCGCCTTTCCTTCAATTTTTTTTAGACTATTTGTTTCTTTTTTTGTATAATAAGCCCGGTACATAGGAGTTAATTTTATAGCCGAGTCATCCGAATTCGATATCCGCCGGCATCAATGAGCTAGCAAACGATCTATTTTTGAATATTATGCATTTGTGTCTACAGTGGCTACGCGTTGGATGAGGTGCTGCAAGTTGCTGGTTTGATTCCCTCATGGAACATGTATTTCTAGGGCCTCACAAGGCACCGTCATGCATTGACTTCCTACATCTCTAGCACCTCCCAGCAATTAGTTTAAAATATATTTGGACTCTAGAATTATTATTTTTTTAGAAAAAGGGGTGACATCGAGCAAACAGTTCATCTGTAAGTGAATTCTGGGGCCCATAAACATCTACATCTAGCCTAGATTAAGAATCAAAATGCACATGCGCTTGTCACCCCTGTGGACTAAGATAAAATGCCTCGTTTCCAGCAAAAAGAATCTTTGGTACTCTACACTCACCACACGACACACAACGGAATTAAGTTACTATTTCACGTTGATATACTGTGTGAGTGTGGTCTTTCCCCGATTGAGCCGACCCATTCGTCCTACAACAATAATATAGCTGCAGCGTGACTACCACTTGTGACTATTTCTGTTCACGTGCAATTTATGCGCGCAAAACGCCTCCACTACTTACGAAATTCAAAATGTGGATATATTAGGAACAGACACAAACTACTAGTACCAGTTACTCGACTCCACCAAGTCAGTAATTCATTCTTGGGGCGATGCCTACGCTTTTACAACAAAATCCCAGAAAATATACAAAATTTGACCTGCTCAAAGTTCAAAAACTAGATAATATCCCCTGGGAATGTGGTGATCGCTACCAAGCTATTTCTAATTTGTTTTGTTATTAAAAAATAGTCCCGCTGGGTTTCTTCCTGGTTCTTTCCAGGACAGCGGTTATTTTCCGAACCAGTGGTAATTAAACAAAAGAGTGACTTTCAGTAAGTATTATTTATAATCTATATTGAATAAAAAAGTTTGTTTCTGTATAACTTTTTTAAAAAAGTAGGCTGCAATTAGCTTCATTTTTTCTACCGACTTCAAAAACGAGACGATACTCAATTTGACTGTATAACCTCATAACTTTTTACTGGGTGAACCGATTTCGATGATTCTTTTTTTTTGTTTGAATTTGAATTTGTGTGATTAATTTTTTTGTTGTTACATGTCTAAGTTTTTTAAATATCCATATTAATTTTCTTACTCTGTTGCTGGAGTAGTCAATGTGAGAATGCCAGCTTTGTCTTTGATCCAAAATAACACCTAGGTACTTAATAGATTGGACTCTATCAAGCACCGCACAAGAACCGTTGGCAGTATCTTTATAACTACACTGGTGAATTCTTAGAGCAATGTTGCTAGCAGGTTGTGTTCTATTGGTGATCGTAAAACATATATATTTTGTCTTAGATTCATTAAGAGTGAGGAGGTTATGCTGTAGCCAATTATTAACCGATCTAAGACCAAGTTCAGCGCTCCTAAAACTGATTCTCAAGTTGAACCCGTGAAGACCAATGCAGTGTCATCATCGTAGGAAAATACCCGACCATTTTCTAAGTTCATCTTCGTGAGATCATTTATGTAAATGAGAAACAAGGTGGGGCCCAGTACACTCCCCTGAGGAACACCGAAAAGAACCTTAGCTTCTCCACTTATATGGTCCCCAATCTTCACTAGTTGCTTCCGATTTCCCCCTCCCCTGCCAGAGACCCCTCTCATGCCAGTTGCTTCGAGTTTACGCAGGAGGATAGGGAAGTTAACAGTATCAATTGCCTTTCTGAGGTCAAGAAAAACAGTGAGACATTTTTGTCCTTGGTCTAATTCCTTAATGATAAAGGAGGTTAAAGCTAAGACTGCATCCTCTGTTGATTTTGCACGTCTAAAGCCGAATTGAGTTTCTGAAAGAATGTTGTATTTCTCTAAGTAGTTTATTAGACGAAGGTTTATCAGTTTTTCTATGATTTTTGAGATGGCGGGTACGGCCGGGGCGTACGGCCGGTGTATACGGCGTAACTATAGATTTTTTGAGAGGTGTTGGAAATACGCCTTTATGGAAGCAAAGATTGGCTAAATGGCTAATTACTGGAACTACGTGTGCTCTAGCTAGTTTGATAAATTGAGTAGAAATATTGTCCCAGCCAGGAGCGCTGTTGGGCTTGAGGTTAGTTATAATTTCATCAACTTCCACTGGATCAGTATCCAATAGAACAAAAGATCTAGGTTGAGATGCAAGTCTAGGCAATGCATATTCGTTTTGGAGATCGGAATTACTGATTCGTATGTCCTCGGCCAACTTTCGTCCAATATTAGCAAAAAAATCATTTATGTGATTCACCGAGTCCTCCGGAGTAGATTTAGCATTTAATAAATCATTGTTTGATGTTTTGTTCGAATTTGTATTGGTTATAGTTTTAATTGTTTACCATAATAACTTAGTATTTTTCGTTACTTTAGCTAATTGTAGTTTTTCGTATTTTCGTTTTAATTTTTTTAATAGATTATTACAATGGTTTCGATATCTTGTGTAAATGATTTTTAAAATTTCGTTGTGTGGTTCAGAACGTAGTTTTAATTGCATTTTGTTCCTATTCCTAATGCATCGCAAAATGCCTAAGTTAACCCAAGGCTTAATAGTGCGTTGGGATTTGGGAACAGTTTTTAAACTTTTATGTTCTTCTAGAGATTCAGACAGCCGTTTTATTTATGTTTTCACCAATGTATTAGTGTGGTGAGAGCATCGTTATAGTCAATAAATTCTACATTTTTAGAACAATGTGTTTTTTGTTTTACTTTACTAATTTTCATAAATATGCTATAGTGACCAGCAGTTGTGGTATTTAAGATTGCTATAAACGGAGATAGTTTGTTTTGGTCTATTTTTAACATAAAATGATCCAGACAGCTCTCGCCTCTAGTTGGTATAGAATGACCAGAAAGTATTCCATGTGTTGATAACATATTTAAATAGAAAGATCTATTATTATTTTCATTGCATCCTTCATCAGGTTTTGGAATTAAATTTATGTTGATATCTCCTGTAATCATTATGTTATGATGTCTTGTTGGTTTCTAAGTAAGTATTTAGGGAATTTATAAAATAAGTTGCATTTCAATTTGACGGAGAGCGATAAATGCATAAAATAATATGGCCAAGTATATTTATCTGAATGCAAGATGCATGAACTAGTTTCACTTCTTGCATAGTAGGCTTAAGATTACTCTTTACATAAGTCACCACTCCGTCATTTTGATTAAGGTTATATTTACTTGCAAGCGACGTATATCCAGATAAAGTGGGCAAAGGTTAGCGCCAATACATCTACTTCAAAATTCAAGTGTGAGAGTGTTGCTTGAAAGTCATCAAAATTGCAGTGTATGCTTCTAATATTTTGCGAGATTACTGTTAAATCATTCTTCTTAATATTTACATATTTTGTAAGATCCTGTATGTCACACCTGGTGGAATTGGCTATATTAGTTCCGTCTATGTCTTTCAAAATTTGAGATGTGCTATCCATCAAGAGATTCGATGTATAATATGCGATAATGTGTTATAACTAGTATGTAGGTCATGAATTGATTTATATATTAATTTATTGGTTTTTATGTTTTTATGTAGTGACATTGGAACCTGTTTGTTTTGGTATACGAGTAGTATGTATGGTGGGATCAACAGACTACATGTGTGCGGGAGAGGTTGTATGTGTGAGTGTTTGATATTTCGAGTGTTAGTATGTGTGGGTAGATGATGTGTAAGTGTGAGTAATAGTGTGTTTCTTACATTTACACACTTACACACATTTACAAAACTAAAGAAGATAGAACAAAATCTTAATATACTGTAGAAACGGCCACATGCGATTGATGAGATCGAGTCTAGTCATTTCTTAGATTGTTGAATTTGAGCTTCATTTTTTATAAGTACTATCTTCGAATTGTCCTCTTTTCGCACGTAGACCTTTCCATGCGCAGTCCAACAAAATTTATAAGAATTTATCTTAGCCATGTCTTAGTTAGCAGCCTTAGCAGTTAACCGTTCTGAAACAAAAATAGGAGTATCTTCAGCAGTGCGCAGACCCAGGTGTTTGGCACAAAGCTTGGTTTTTGTTCTTGTATTGAAATTTTTACACATTTTCAAAAATTAATTTTTTAGCATTATCGAGGAAATCTCTACTATGACAGGAGTGTTTTGAATATTATCCCTCTTTCCCCGGACTCTGTAAATATCTTTGATGTCAGATTTCGTGATTGGATACCCAATGGTGTTCGACAAATTCATAACCATATCTATGAGTTCTTGCTTCGCTTCCAACGTCTTCTTTGGTACATTTTTAATTTCTAAATTTGCTTTGCGTCTGTCTTTTTGCATATCTTATTCAATTTTGTCTTCTAAAATGGTTATATTACATATTTTCGATCTTCTTTTATCTGCTCCTCTAACTTCTCTATTTGTTTTTGAAACTCCTTATTCTGCTCGGCCAGAAAAGTGATTGAGCTTTCGATATTCTGATTTGTTTTTTGTATATCTCTGAGTATATTCGCATTTTTTTTGGAGTTCTAGATTTTGAGTATTTATTAAGGTATTGAACATACTAGTCATTTTTTCTCTTAGTAAAGCAAGGTTTGCAGCGCTATCATCACTCCTTTTTCTCTTATTTCTGGTTGATATAAAATTTGGTGGAGTAATATTGTGTTGTGTGGGTACTTCAAATTCTGAGTCAGATAATGACTTGTTCATGTTGCCCAATATGTACAAGGATATGATACGTTGAGAGATCTGTTGGAACCGTGGTAAGTAAAGATGGCGCTGATCTTGTGGGATGGTTTGATAGTTGGAAGTGCCAATCAAAAATTTCAGCAAAAATTTGAAGGCAAATTAG